CAAACGTGCAACAATTAACATGTATGTCTTATCTCTATCGTATCTAAGTAATGTAGCGACGTGATGGTGCCGCTACACACCCTGATGAATTAAACGACGATTTGAAAGATATAAATAGTTTTATTTAGTAGCTTGAGAATTTACAACATGTTTGTATGGATGCGTATTGCAAAGAGAAAGATGACAAGCGCAAAAGGCACAGAGTATAGAACGGTGGTCATAGACCATTTCATATTATCTATGCTACACTATAGTAGTCGAAAAAGGCGACAAATTTAAAACATGTAACACTCCCTCTAAATTTTAGCCTTGTTCTACTAACTTTACATACATAGAGAAACATATTTTGTGCATACTGCCATCTTATCACAATATTATATTGGGTACATATTAATCAAATGATTACAGTATGTATTAAACCCAATACAAAACTTTAAACTAAATCAACAGAGCTTCAAGCATAACAACTGAATTGCAAACATAAATGAACTGAAATATAAAAGACAAATATTCTTAGGTTTTACATTCCTTTGGGTTCTCAATTAAACCTAACTTATTTCTAAAGTACTCAAATTTAACTTTAGACAAAGGTTTAGTAAAGATGTCAGCTAACTGTTTATCAGTACTAATATACTTGAGATCAATTATCTTTTCAGTATACTTTTCTTTTACAAAATTATATTTGCCAAGCCCTATTCATCCTATTCATTGTCATGTGCATTGCTGCGCCTGAATCCACATACCATCCGAAATCATAGCTAGATGTTGCTGAGAAAACGGCTACAAAAGAGTTATCACTTTGTTTCTTGTTATTCTTCACTTTACAGTTTTTGCCGATGTGTCCGTACTTGTTACAAGTATAACATCTTGGCCCTTTTGACTTTTGTTTGATAGGTTGCTTATTATTCTTGCTCTTGTTTACAAAGAATACACCTGGATCACGATTTTTCACTTCCTGTAACAGTTTACTTTTAATTGAGTCTGCTGTTATGGCCACACCGGAGCTTTCTATTGCCATAATCATTGGCTTGTATTCATCAGGGAGTCCCGCAAGTAACAACGTGCCTAGCCACTCGTCGTCGACCTTGAACCCGATGTTCCGAAGCTTGTGTGCCGTAGTCATGATCTTGTTCACGTATTCTTCAATACTTTGACAATTTTCTAGTGTTGTCGTTATGAGGTCTCGTAGCAATCCAACTCGACGTGTCAGCCCCGAGTCATCAAAAGCTTTACAGAGCTTTTCCCATACTTCTTTAGCACTGTTGGCTTCCTGAACGTGGACATAGTTGATGGGATCAACTAGAAGTATTATTTTTGACTTCGCCTTGACGTCTTTCTTTAGATCGACCTCACCGGTGCCTGATACGCATTCCCACAGATCCTCATGCTCCAAATACGTCTTGACTGCGAACTTCCAGCTTGCAAAATTATCTCTGCCGGTCAATCTTTCTATCAGGGTCATATTGTTCATGTTGTTCGAACCCATAATTTTCTAGAAAAATCGATGTCAGGCCGGTTTGCAAAGTGAGTTATATGCAATCTCAAAACTATTCACGGAATTTAATTTATCTTTCAATGTTTCAGCATCCTGGGCCCATAACCTGATGAATTAAACGACGATTTGAAAGATATAAATAGTTTTATTTAGTAGCTTGAGAATTTACAACATGTTTGTATGGATGCGTATTGCAAAGAGAAAGATGACAAGCGCAAAAGGCACAGAGTATAGAACGGTGGTCATAGACCATTTCATATTATCTATGCTACACTATAGTAGTCGAAAAAGGCGACAAATTTAAAACATGTAACACACCCCAACATTAATTGTGTCGCTTGTTTTCAGCGGCGAAAGTTTCAGTGTCCTTCAGCGCGCCAAGGGGAACGCACGCCGCTACTCGTGTAAAATTCGATCCGGTGTTTACGTCAACATAATACTTATATTATATTCATTAATTAAACTTGAAATATTTATTATAACTAAATAAGTGCATTTTTATTACTAAGAACAAAGAGTTCGTGGATATTTTTTTTAGCTTAAAAGTGATTTTTCTTTGTGTTTTCTTTAGGAAAGGGTGAGTTTATTTTTATTATTTTCTTTCATATGTGGTAGTTCGGCAAACTATCAAACGGATTACCTGATGGTAAGAAATCAGAGGAGTTACGAGTGCGTTGCCAACCTTTTGGGGATTAGAGATTTGGAGATTTTGGGATTGGGACGGGGAAGTATTGAGGCTCCGATAACCTCACTCACACGGCGAAACACAACGCTGTGGTTGTTTCACGCCGGTTTTCTGTGAGGCCGTGGTATCACTCCGGTCGAGCTGATCCATTCGTGCCGAATGGCTCTCCCACACTTTATGCTACATGGTAATACTACATAGGCGGACTTAATGCCGTAGGCATTCTTACCAGTCAACCTTAGGGTGATGCAGAGAGGGGATGGTAGGTGCAACAAGAAGAAAACTTGGAAACCATAAACTTTAAAGGCAAAATTCAACTTGAATATAACTTGGTACAAAAACAAATTTAATCATTACATAGTATAAAACAAAGTCGCTTTCTCTGTCCCTATATCCCTATGTACGCTTAAATCTTTAAAACTACGCAACGAATTTTGATGCGGTTTTTTAATAGATAGTGATTGAATAGTAAGGTTTATATGTATAATAACTATTAATAACATCCATTAAATAGTGCAGAAATTTAGTATCAGCTATTTTGCAGCATTAATGCAACCGTGCGAAGCTGGGACGGGTCGCTAGTTTATTAATAATACAAGAATATAGGGTATAATGTTTAATAAATAAATATATGTAAAGTAAACACTAGCTTTTGCCCGTGACTCTGTGCGCGTGGAGTAGTGACTTATGGCAAATTTTTGGTATAAAAACTATCCTGTCGTTTCTCGAGTTCCGAGTACCAAATTTCACAGAAATCGTTTCAGTTGTTCAGGCGTGAAGAAAAGACAGACAGACAGAGTTACTTTCGCATTTATAATATTAGTTTGGATAAATGTATAGCATACAAATGTATATTTAGTTTAAATACATATAATGAGGGTGTTAATAATGTGGATTGAAAAAGAGTAACGATGGAGTTTTTTGCTTGTTCTTCTACATTCGGATCTACAATTTGGAACGAGCACCTAGCTTCACAGACGAACAGACTGACAGACTACTATTCTATTTTGAAGTTTCAAAAGTACCTATTTATAGTTCAGTTGGAATAAATGATTTGGATAAACGATTCTGACTTGTTTTAGTGTTATGTGCAAAATATAATAATACTGCGTAAATAATACTAGAACCGTGGTTTTTTATTTTTATTTTGCCTGATCAATAATAATTATAACTGGTAGGTACATTATTTGGTCACAATGAAACAATGAAACAATGAATTTATTTCTGCAAGTAGGCCTTAAAACGGCACTTTTACACGTCAAATTATATGTGAAAAACTAGATGAAGCCGGCATTTCCTATCTGACTACTCTGAGAAGAAATGCCGAAACAAACTCAGAGGTCCGTCTCTTTTCAAGTCCAGACAATATAAAATAACATAATGTGAGAGAACCGTGCAAGTTCATTCTGTAGTGGTCTTTTGAGCAAAGAACCACACCAGTTTAAGTGGACCCGTTCTGAAGACAGGCACGCAAGTGTCAGTTTGCAACCAGTATAGCTAGTGCTGCTGAGTTGTCCGACGAACAATACCGATCTAAAGAACATTTGGGTGGGTCGCGCAAGTACTCAAACTGTCAGAACGCAGATAACTGGTAATCAAAAAGCACGGCAAGTCTCACACGGTCCTTACACTAACAATAATATAAAATTATAAAAATGTCAATAAATAAATAAAAAAAAAATGTCAAATAAAAAATAAAATGTCACAACAGGTGATCATGTCATTGTATAAAAAAAAAATAAACGTAATGTCAAATTGTATATAAAAGTGTAACTTATGTTACAAACATGTCAACATGACCTGTGCAGACATTACAGCGGCTCATTCCCAAGCCTGACTATCCTCTAAGTAGTCTTTTATTTTATAAAATGCTTTGCAGCAAAGTTTAGCCTTTATTACACTTTTATTGAGGCTCAAATTTTGAATATCGCTAGGAATTTTATTGTAAAAGCGTATACATTGACACCTAAACGAACTACTTATTTTCTGAAGCCTGGACGCAGGCACAACATATTTGTTTTTCCCCCTCGTGTTGATATTATGTATATCACTATATTTCTTAAATAAGCTTTTGTTTTTATGAGCGTGAATTACATTTTCATAAATATATTGAGAGGCAACTGTCATTATTTTAGATTCCTTAAATAATTCTCTGAGCGAATGCCTCGGACTAAGATTATAGATTGATCGAATAGCCCTTTTCTGCAGAACAAAAATAGACTGGATGTCAGCAGCATTCCCCCACAACAAAATACCGTATGACATGATGCTGTGAAAATAAGCAAAATAAACTAACCGCGCTGTATCTATATCTGTTAAATTTCTAATTTTTTTAACGGCATATGCTGCAGAACTGAGCTTCTTCGACAAGCCATCTATATGTGGGCCCCACTGGAGCTTAGCGTCCAGGGTTATACCTAAAAAGACAGTTGTATCTACAGGACTCAACTCCTCGCCCTTGACAAGCACACTGGTTTTATGTCTGTGCCAAATTTCACAGAAATCGGTTCAGTAGTTTAGGCGTGAAGAAAAGACAGACAGACAGAGTTACTTTCGCATTTATAATACTAGCTTTTGCCCGCGACTTTGCGCGTGGAGTAGTGACTTCCTGCAGTTTTTTGTTTTAAAAAATTATCCTATGTCCTTTCTCAAGTTCCAAACTATGTCTGTACCAAATTTCACAGAAATCGATTCAGTAGTTTAGGCGTGAGGGAAAGACAGACAAAGTTACTTTCGCATTTATGATACTAGCTTTTGCCCGCGACTTTGTTCGCGTGGAATAGTGACTTCCTGCAGTTTTTTGTTTTAAAAAACTATCCTATGTCCTTTCTAGAGTGGAGACCACGTCTAGGCAAACATAGTGTAGGGCGCCCTCCAGCTAGGTGGACTGACGACATCCGCAGGGTGGCTGGCAGTGGTTAAATGCTGAACATCGAGCTCAGTGGCGTGCAATTGGGGAGGCCTATGTCCAGCAGTTGAGGACAACAGGCTGATGATGATGATGATGATGTCCTTTCTCGAGTTCCAAACAAATTTCACAGAAATAGGTTCAGTAGTTTAGGCGTGAAGAAAAGACTGACAGACAGAGTTACTTTCGCATTTATAATATTAGTATAGACTAGTATAGATATACAAAAACATATTTGTTTGTCCTACTTTTTATTATAATGATCTTTCGATACGTATTGTTAATGACATGATGAATCAACATATTATACTTACTTAGATAGCTTCATGGGAATCTGGGTCAAACGCATTTAAATGGACACCATGACAATCATTGAATTACTGATTTGTTATCTTTATAATGACATAAATGGTTAACCCATTCTCAATACTATTTTTCACTGGCCTAAAAAATGAGGTTGTTTTGTTTTTGTTTTTTCAACTTTGCCACACACTAGGATTTTCTCCTGTGTCGTGGGTGCGTGTGCAAACATACAATGTCACATACTATATACACATCACACCCAGACTCACGGAACAACAATTTGTGGAACACACAAAGTGTTTTTCCGTGCAGGATACGAACCCGCGACTCGTTGTACGACAGCCAGTTGCCCAGCCACCGCGCCAACCGTGCAGTCGAAATATGTAGATATGAGTGGAGATTGTTTCAGAGTTTCAGAAAGTGTTCAGAGAAAAGCTACCAAGATGGTCAGATTGCTTAAAAATAAACCCTATGACCAACGTCTGCACGAACTTGGCCTCACCACTCTTTAAAAGCGGAGACAGAGAGGAAACTTTATTGAGACTTACAAAATAATGAGTGACTGCTACAACGTTCCTGGACTTAAGAATATGTATCTTCTTAATAAAAATCGAAATTTGAGAGGACACTCATTAAAACTATGCAGAACATCCTCAAAACTGAATCCGTTGACACACTTCCTACCTAATAGGGTGGTCACGGAATGGAATAAACTCCCAGAAAATGTGATAAAAGCACCCACAGTTAATTCTTTTAAAAACAGACTCGACAAAATCTCCAAATCCATTAATACGCACGCATCAGCTTTCTAAGCTGCTAGTGTGTTCAAGTATAATAATAATAATAAATAATAAATCATCATCTTTTAGCTCATGACTGCGCCCGCCCAAGGCGGATTGGCGATTTCAAACTTATAATTCGAATTAAAAGTGCAGGTTTCCTCACAATGTTTTCCTTCATTGTGTGTCAATGGAGTCAAAATAATCTTAGAAATTACATGTAAAACGGAAAAGTCACATTGGTACTTGCCAGGTTTTGAACCCTCATGCATGAGCAGCGGGCGCCTTAACCTTAGGGTCACCACGACGTGTTATTTAATTCAAGATAAGTTAGTAATATTCCTTAAAATAAATATTTTAAGCAAAATAATACTGCAAGGCCTGAAAAAGGTCGTTAAACAGGGCTTTTGATTTCAATGAAGGCCGTTGTATATTACTAGCTAGTTTCTGCCAACGGCTTCGTCTGCGTGTAATAGTGAGTTCTGGCGGATTTTTGGTTTTTACCCACATAGTTCCCGATCTTATAGGTATTTCGGGAAGTTCTTTTGAATTCCCGGGATTTAAACTGTGTAAAACCAAAAATCTGCTAGAAATCATTATTCTACGCGGACGAAGTCGCTGGCAGAAGCTAGTATTAAATACAATTTCTATTTTGGAAACACGCGATGACCATGCAGCTGTACTGAGTTACTGAATAATTTCATGATAGATCAATGTACCTATATAGACAGAGATATAGGTATATAGACAGAGACACGTGTTTGATCTGAACACAATTTCGTGTGGCCAGCATTTTTATGAATAACTTATTAAGGTTCTTAATTAAATATTTAGACACACTGACATACCTATGGTGAAGGAAAACATCGTGAGGAACCCTGGACTTATAGTTTCTAATTATAAGTTTGAAATCGCCAAGTGTGGGAGAGCCAAGCTTCGGCACGAATGGGTCAGCTCATTCGAATACTGAAAGGCGTAGTCATACCTTACATTGAATAATTATTTTTGTATTTGTTAGTAAATTTATTGAGGAAGTTTAGTAGGAGCCGAGCAGCGAGGTAAACCGCGCGACAGAAGCTAGTTTCCGACATTTTAGCGTTATCGCAACCGCCGCACCGCGATTTTAAACTCTAATTACCTAAATATAAATACCAATCTTCGACACTGCCATAACATTTGCTTTTTCCAATCAAAATTGCAATCAGCCATCTTGTTAAACTAACTCTTATATAACTACTTAAATAGTAAATAGCTGGTGCTTCCTCATGCATGAGAAATGGGCGCCCTAAACTTCGGTCCGCCACGACGTAAATGTAATTCTAGCTCTATCACTTACAAGAGGCGATCTCCGGCCGACCTAGAGCGCGGGTCTGCGGACGGCGAGTAAGGGTAGCTCGCCGCCCGACCAGAACCAGACCCGAGCGTATGGCGCGTAGCGTTCCGAGCGCGCCTCAAAAAGCCAATAGACCACCACAGACGGGGCCCTATAGGGCTGATGTTCAGCCGGGGTTGCAGGGTAAGCGCAATGCGTCACCGCGGTCTCAGCCTAAAGCAGGAGAAGAAATGGGGGGTTTTTAGTCGGTATGAGTCTGACACTCTCTCTCGCCTTACCCTGGACGGGAGAAGTCATTTGATGATTATTTTTATGTTAATTGATTTTACATTTTTCAGGTGAACTATGGATAAGTCTTCATCGAAAACATCTAAAATAGCTGCTTTGATATTGATGACAATTAATCTCATTTTCATGGTAAGTTTAATAACAACATAGTTCACAATAATATAGTCCAATACCGCGGCTTCATACGAGTTTTATTCATCAAGTGTGGGAGAGCCATACTTCGGCACGAATGGGTCGGGTCGACCGGAGTAAAACCTACCACGGCACGGCACGAAATGTTAACGGCCTTACAGAAAATCGGCGTGAAACAACCATAGCGTTGTGTTTCGCCGTTTGAGTGAGGTTACCGGAGGCCCGAACGAGCAGACGGATTACCTGATGGTAAGCAATTAGCACCGCTCATGGAGTAACGAGTGCGTTGCCGGCCTTTTAGGGATAAGGCTTTTGGATATTAAAGGATTGGGAAAGGATCTCTGGTAACCTCACTCACGCGGAGAAATATAACGATGCTATTTCGCGCCGGTTTTCTGTGAGGCCGTGGTATCACTCCGGTCGAGCCGACCCATTCGTGCCGAAGCATGGCTCTTTCACACGTATTTGTTTACTCTTACCTTTATAATACTCTACATACACGTATGATAACATCCATAAAATAGGTAGTGGAGAAATTTAGTATCAGCAATGCACCCGTGCGAAGTCGGGGCACGTTGCTAATATTAAATGTAGTATAGATTCCTTCACGTCGATTCTATAAAATTTGTTTGATTTTGAATTTTGTTCGAGTGCGAAGTGAGCGTCGAAGTGACGGGGAAATTACATTATAGAATGCCACTTTTAACGTCATCTCATACTTTATCTATCAAAATGTTGCGGTCAATTTAGTTCAACTCGCAAGTGTAGCGCTAGTGTACTACTACTCACAGCGGATTCAGATTCGAAGTTTAGAATGAAGTCTTACAGAATCACACCCCTTAACCTTTCTCACCTAGACCTCGATCAATCACTCAATCTTTAACATCAAATAGTAAACATAGATTTATATAATTTCTTAACGTCAAATATTCAAGAACTCATTTCTTAGGACCGTGAACTTCCATGGTTGATGCTTGGCCTTGAATTGAACCTTGGACTTAAATATGTTTAACGACGAATCTTGACCTTCATTCGAAACTGGGTGAAGGAAATAGTCCTTCAATTATTTTATTGTCTGTCTAAATTGATAAACTATCAGTTTCAAGTGTGAGAGAGCCATACTTTTTTTATGGTATAAGTCGGCAAACGAGCTGACAGATTACCTGATGGTAAGCAATCGGCGCCGACCATGGACATCTGCAACACCAAATGAGTTAAGAGTGCGTTGCCGGCCATTTGGGGATAGGGGTTGCGGATAAGGATCGGGAAGGGATAGGGAAAGGGGCGGGATTGGGCCTCCGGTAACCGCACTCACACGGCGAAATACAACGCTGTGGTTTTTTCCCGCCGGTTTTCTGTGTGGCCGTGGTATCAATCCGGTCGAGCCGAAGCTTGGCTCTCCCACACTTGCTTAATAAGAATCTGACACTCTCGTATCAAACCACAGAAATCTTAATAATAAGGCAATATTATTAAGATTTCGGTGTCTCAAACAGAGCAAAAGAAATCATTTAATGAAAGCTCCTTTACAAAAAAAAACCTAATCCTAAAAAGGTAAAGAACTTACACGAACCTAATTCTTAAATTCGTGTTGAGTAAGACATTGGAAATGCCGAATAATAGGAAGGACATTGCTCGATTTGAGGTCGAATACAGAACCTTGTCCTTGACTTACGCAATTGTAATAAAAACGATACGGCCTTTGTAACAGGGTAGTTTCCAACTAGTCAAATTCAATAAAGTGTAACTGATGGGCAGATGGTCCAGGGCGACAAATTTCTGGGGAGCGCCAAGGTCTGAACTTCTGAAATTGGAGGCTCTTGCCTCTCCTGGTGCAAACCCTCAGAACTGTGCTCCACGCTCTGTGCATATGCATATTTTTTATTAAGATTTTTTTTATGGATTTTTGAGGGTTTGGAGGTCAAGGAGTGACTTAGAGTCACTCCTCCGTGGATATCAATACTATCGGCATAAAACTATCACTTGGTATTGTTTACCTCGAGTGGGCGCCACAATATTTTCGCCCGGGGTGTCAGTGGCCCTTTCGCCGGTTTTGCGCCCCACACATCCAATGTTTTCTCCCTGAGCGGGAGAAAACATTTGATGATATTGATTGAAACTTTAACAGATATATAGATGGGCTGGGTTTGGATGACTCTGATCAAATGTTCCCACACTTAATCCCAAGCTTCGGCTCGAACAGGTTGGGTCCACCATGGTAATACGACGGCCTCACAAATCCATTAAGGCATATTGGTAGTGGAAATGGTCTAATGGTATATTATTTTTCACATTGTCTGGACTTGAAAAGAGATGGAACTCTGAGTTTGTTTCGGCATTTCTTCTCATAGTAGTCAGATAGGAAATGCCGGGTCCATATAGTTTTTACATATAATTTTGACGTGTAAGTGCTGTTTTATGGCCTAATTACAAAAATAAATTCATTGTTTCATGGTTTCATGCACTGCTTGGATGAGTGCTGACACAATGCCCGTCCCCCAATCCTTAAATCACCCAAATCCTTATCCCCAAAAGTTCGGCAACGCACTCGTAACTCGACTGATGTAAATGAGCAGCGCTGACTGCTTACCATCAAGAAATCCGGCTTATCCCATACCAAATGTCTAACGACATTAGCTATTCATAAATGTATTAAGTTGGTTCTAAATAACAATTAATAATTTTATTTCAGGTCGTCTGCATTGTGTTTGCAGCTGTTGGAATATGGATTATCTCATCACCAAGCACATTGGCGAAAGTCATCGAATCCACTGGCAACTCTACACTTAAGGTAAGTTAACTATGATGGAACGGCTGCCGCGCAACGTGTCGCGGGTTTAATTCCCGCACGGAACAACTCTTTGTGTGATGTGTATGTGACATTGTATGTTTGTAAACGCACCCACGACACAGGAGAAAATCCTAGTGTGGGGCAACGTTTTTTTTTTACTTAAGTTTTTTTGCAATTTAAATGATAGTTAATAAAATAATATTAAATGTATGTTATTATACATATAAACCTTCCTATTCAATCACTCTATCTATGAAAAAAACCCCATCAAAATCAGTTGCGTTGTTTTAAAGATTTAAGCGTACATAAGGATATAGGGACAGAGAAAGTGACTTTGTTTTATACTATGTACCTAGTGATTAAATATTTTTTTGTACCTACATATTCAAGTTGCATCTTGCCATTAAAGTTTATCGTTTCCAAGTTTTCTTCTTTTTCCATCTACCATCCCCTCTCTGCATCACCCTAAGGTTGTCTGGTAAGAATGCCTACGGCATTAAGTCCGCCTATGTAATACTACGTAGTGACGTTACCTTTTAAAAAAAAGTAAAAAGTCATGTTAAAAAGTAACTAAAATATACTTAAATAACACATAATTATCATGAAATAAATAAAAAGTAAATCAATTTGGTTTACAAATAGCATGCATGACAGACAGTCACGTGATCGTACGGCCGCCATGACAGGCGACGTATTATAATCTGAATAATGTATCGTTAGCTAACTGCGATCATAACTAGGTCAGCGTGCTTCACTACATAGTATAAAACAAAGTCGCTTTCTCTGTCCCTATATCCAAGGGCGGATCCACCGTTGTGGGCACGATGGGCATGCCCACAACCTTATTACACTTGTGATTGAAATAGGTTTGGATCGAAACTGACTATTAGAAATTAGAAGAAATCGTGTCCGACTTCTTCCTAAGTTTATTTACATTCCTAAGGCCAAAGTCCTGATGCTCAGAAAAAAGGAAATCTAATTCATAAGTTCATAAACGATTTGCATGATTGTTAATGAGCATGTCCTTATTCCGACTCGTACTTAGCCGATTTTCTAGTAGCTGTGACCACAACCTTTTTTGAAGTCTGGATCCGCGCTTGCCTATATCCCTATGTAATTTTTAAGTCATAGTTCGACAAACGAGAGGACGGATTACCTGATAGTAAGCAATCAGATGGTTGAAATCGCCAACCCGCATTGAGCAAGCGTGGTGATTAATGCTCAAGCCTTTTCCGGTCGAGAAGAGGCCTTTGCTCAGCAGTGGGCACTTATAGGCTGATGATGGTGATGAAGCAATCAGCGCGGCCCATGGATACTCGCAATACCAAAAGAGTTACGAATGCGTTGCCGGATTTTTGGGGATAAGGGTTGCGGATATTTAAGGATTGGGAAGAGATAGGGGAAGGGCAGGGATTGGGCCTCCGGTTACCTCTCTCACACGGCGAGCGTTGCGTTTCGCCTTAGAACCACTATCCCTAAAAGGCCGGCAATGCACTCGTAACTTCTTTAGTGTTGCGCTGATTGCTTACCATCAGGTAATCCATCTACTCGTTTGCCGACCTATCACATAAAAAAAAAACAATTATTTTAAAATCAATTATGCATGTAGTGTTAGCCTGTTAGTAATTGATGCACTTACAAATGCATATTGTAATCTTTGAATAAATTGTCAAATAATACGGTAGTTTCCAACTAGTCAATTTCTATACTTTTGTCCAAATGTCAAAAACATTACTTTTGCTATGAAATTTGTATGAAACTGTGAGTTCTGACGTCTCAGTATTTACGCGTCAAATTGCTAATTTATTTTTTTAATATCAGCTTTTTAAATATCGTTTATTTTACTCTACATATCGACAGATTGATGATTAAAAGTACCTATCTATATTCTTAATATTTTATTGTATTGCAACTTCGAATCAATTAATTTTTGATCTAGGAAACTACCCAATACTGTAGTTTCCAACTAGTCAAATTCAATACTTTTATTCAAATGTCAAAAACTATAATATTCTATGAAACTTGTATGAAATAACAAGTTGTGACGTCATAGTATTTTAACGTCAAATAGCATACTTCATCATCATCATCATCAGCCTATAAGTGCCCACTGCTGAGCAAATGTCTCTTCTCACACGGAGAAGGTTTGAGCATTAATCACCACGCTTGCTCAGTGCGGGTTGGCGATTTCAAATTTATAATTAGAAATTATAAGTCCAGGATTCCTCACGATGTTTACCTTCACCGCATGTCAGTGGTGTCTAAATAATCATAGAAAGTACATATAACTCGGAAAAAGTCACATTGGTACTTGCCAGGTTTCGAACCCACAACCTCATGCATGCAAAATTTCTTTTGAATTAACAATAAAAATACGAATATAAACTAGGTATGTTGTAAAATAAATGAATGCAACTGGTGTGACTATTTTTCAATATACATAGTATTATATTGAAACGTCGAATTTATTAATAAATTTTTGACCTAGCCAACTGTCATGTTTGAGGTTGACCATTAAAAAAAAACAAATGAAAGATCCACGTCAAACATTTTCGTTCATTGGCGAGAAGACCGAATACTGTACACGGTAAAGCTTAATAATAGTTCCGAGTCGTTCAATATCAATAGTGCATGGTACGGATTGCCACGACCGGGTCACCGATGGGCCGTGGAAACCGTGCCACTGGAGTTGGTGTATACTACAATACAAGTATTTATCAATATTATTATGTTTTCGGCTTACTCACGTAATAATTTGTCGAGATACTCGACTAGTTTCAAGTCGTGCTAGAGGCACATATGGCCTGAAACTAGTCGAGTATCTCGTCAAATTAAGTATTACGTGGGAAAGCCGAAAACATATCTAATAATTAATTTAGAATTTCTCACGAAAGTTGTATGTTGTTATGTCAGTTTGTTGTTTGAATGGTGCAGGGCAAAGATGAAGAATTTTTTTTTTATTTAATAGGTCGTCAAACGAGCAGACGGATTACCTGATGGTAAGCAATCAGCGCCGCCCATTGACACTCGCAACGGAGGAGTTACGAGTGCGTTGCCGACCAAAATGAAAAGGGTATACTTTTCAACAAAATATTCACAACATAAGCCTATAAGTGCCCACTTCTGAACAAAGGCCTCTTCTCACACGGAGAAGGTTTAAGCTTTCATCACTACTATCGCTCAATACGGATAGGCGATTTCAAAATTATAATCATAAATTCTGAGTCCAGGGTCTGCCTTTCCCGATCGTACGGCGCGTAGTGTTGTTTTAGTCAGTAAGAGTCTGACACTCCCTCCCGCCCGACCCTGGGCAGGAGAAGTCATTTGATGATTTTCCCTCACAAAAAAAAGGGTCTGCCTTTTCTTCACGCCTAAACTACTGAACCGATTTCTGTGAAATTTGGTACAGATATAGTTTGAAACTCGAGAAAGGAGGTAGGATAGTTTATATACCAAAAATCTGCAGGAAGTCACTATTCTACGCAAACGGAGCCGAGGGCAAAAGCTAATTATACATATAAACCCTCTTCAATCACTTTATCGATAAAAATACCACATCAAAACACTTACCATCAGCAGTGTGATTCTGTAAGACCTCATTCTGAACTTCGAATCTGAATCCGCCGTGAGTAGTAGTACACTAGCGCTACACTTGCGAGTTGAACTAAATTGACCGCAACATATTGATAGATAAAGTATGATTTTATAATAACTATCGTGAGACATACTAAATTAAGGCGCGGCGACGTTAGGCTGCGCGACGTCGCCGCGTCCGCGCACGCTGCTCATGAGGAAGAACCCCTCTGTGGTTCGAAACTAGTAGAGCTTTTCTCAATATGTACACGTGAGTAACCCGCGATTTTTAGTTAATTTAGATAAAGTATGAGATGACGTTAAAAGTGGCATTCTAAAATATAATTTACCCGTCACTTCGACGCTCACTTCGCACTCGAACACGATTCAAAATCAAACAAATTTTATAGAATCGACGTGCAGGTAATACATAGGCACATTGCAAACCTCTTTAGAAAAACCTATTTGTATTTCCACAGGCTCTCATACAGGACATCCTGACTCTTCCAGCGGGTATTGGCATTGCATCAGTCGCCATATTCCTATTCTTCATCTCTTCAATGGGATTCCGTGGCGCCATGACCAGATCACCCTTCCTATTATTCATGGTAAGATCTTTAAGGCGTATAGTACCCTCAATATAACCTTGAGCCTGCTAACGCACGACTGGCGCGGGATGCGTTCGCCCGCTTTTTATATATGTTGGCGCGGTGGCTGGGCAACTGGCTGTCGCGCAACGTGTCGCGGGTTCGATTCCCGCACGGAACAACTCTTTGTGTGATCCACAGATTGTTGTTCCGGGTCTGGGTGTGATGTGCATGTGAAATTGTATGTTTTTAAACGCACCCACGACACAGGAGAAAATCCTAATATGGGGCAACGTTTTTATTTAAAAGAGAAATATGGAAATCCCAATAATATAACATGTTCTTTATAAAATATTGACTGATTTACATGAGTGCTGCCCACTTTGTAGTTAAATTTAATACCGATTGATCTGTTCAAAAAAAAAAATAATTAAATAAACCAAGCCATTTAGAAGGAATTGGCATTTATTTGAACAAAATAGTGTTGGTAAATATTTTTTTACAGCTTAACTATTTGTCATAAGAAAATCAATTTTTTTTTATTATGTACTAGGTCGGCAAACGAGCAGACGGATTACCTGATGGTAAGCAATCAGCGCCGCCCATGGACACCCGCAACGGAGGAGTTACGAGTGCGTTGCCGACCGGGATAAGGGATTGAAGAGGGATTGGGAGAGGGGAAGGATTGGGCCTCCGGTAACCTCACTCAAACGGCGAAACACAACGTAAATATTGCTTCACGTCAATTTTCTGTAAGGCCGTGGTATCACTCCAAGAAGCATGGCTCTCCCACACTTTCCATTCGTTTCTATTTACTCTTTCTATTAATGCTTACTGGTCTTCTGTTACAGTACTCTGCGCTTGTGCTTCTTCTGTTACTTCTGGAGTGTGCCCTCCTCTATTACTTCTCAAGCAATCTGGTTGAAGTAAGTTATCAAAGGTTGACTAACAACAGTTGACCGTAGAACAACTCTTTTTGAGATCCAAACTAATGTTATAATTGCGAAAGTAACTCTGTCTGTCTGTCTTTTCTTCACGCCTAAACTACTGGGCCGATTTTATGTGAAATTTGGAACAGACATAGTTTGAAACTCAAGAAAGGACATAGGATAGTTTTTATACCAAAAATCTGCAGGAAGTCACTTTTCCACGCGCACAAAGTCGCGTGCAAAAGCTAGTATCAAATAAAGCATATATGTATATCAGATTCACCCGCTGCTCGGCTCCTACATATAGTAGCGTGATGTTTTATAGCCTATAGCCTTCCTCGATAAATGGGCAAACAAACATAAAAAGAATTGTTCAATTCGAACCAGTAGTTTCGGAGATTACCGCGTTCAAACAAACAAACAAACAAACTCTTCAACTTTATAATATGTATTGGTATATAGAAATATGAATTATAGATACCAATAGATAAAAGTATTGGTGGCCCGGAGGTTAGGGCGCCCCCTTCTCATGCATGAGGGTGCGGGTTCGAAACCTGGCAAGTACCAATGTGACTTTTTCCGAGTTATATGTACTTTCTATGATTATTTAGACACCACTGACATACGGTGAAGGAAAACATTGTGAGGAAACCTGCACTTATAATTTCTAATTATAAGTTTGAAATCGCCAATCCGCCTTGAGCAAGCGTGGTCAAACCTTCTCCATGTGAGGCTGATGATGATGATGATAAGATAAAAATATGCAATAACACGTGTTGTAAAGATAATTTTAATTATATCAATAAAGTATTATAAAGAACTAAAATTTGTAAGTTTGTAATCTTTGGAACCGCTGGACGGATCGCCAAAATTCTTTCACTGTTAGATAGCTACAATGTTCCTGAGTGCTATAGGCTATAAAACATCACGCTACGATCAAATGGAATCGAGCAGATGGTGAAACTATTATCATTGTCACTAAATACTTACTGTTTTATTGATAATACTCGGTTTATTTTATAGAAAGGACTTCACAAAGACGATGGGCTGTGGACGCACGCAATGAGGCTCGCATTCAGATGCTGTGAACATAAGTATACTTCCATACTTAATTACAAATACCTTTTTATAATAACTATCGTGAGATATCCTTCCCCTTAATCCCCAATCCTTCCCCTCCCCCAATCCCTCCTCAATTCCTAAATCTCCTAATCCCTATTCCCTAAAAGGTCAGCAACGCACTCGTAACTTCTCCGTTGTGGGTGTCCATGGGCGGCGCTGATTGCTTACCATCAGGTAATCCGCCAGCTCGTTTGCCGACATATAACATAAAAAATAACATACTAAATTAACTAAAAATCGCGGGTTACTCACGTGTGTAATTGAGAACAGCTCTACTAGTTTCGAACCACGGAGGGATTCTTCCTCCTGAGCGGCGTGCGCGGACGCGGCGATGTCGCGCAGCCTACCGTCCGCGCACACTGCAGTGACTAACCCGCGGTTTTTAGTTAAAATACCTTTTTTGTGGGGGGAGAAGGAGAAGGGGTTGCCTAACCTCAGATTTGTTATAGAAAATAACCCAAAAATATTTATAATAACCGCCAAAAAATATATGGGAGAGCCATGCTTCGGCACGAATGGGTCGGCTCGACCTGAATGATACCACTACCTCACAGAAAATAAAAAACAACCACTGCGTTGAATGAGGTTTCCGGAGGCCCAATACTTTTTCTACCCCCATCTCTTCCAATCCCAAAATCTACGAAACCCGGTCACTCAAAAGGTCGGCAACAGATTCGTAAGCACCAGAATCGGGTCCTTAAATATGTCCTTAGTGCAAAATAACAGGCCGAATGCAGAAAAAGAATTAACATTTTCAAAAGTAGCTGATCAATGTTTAATATTTATAACTAGCTCTTATCCGCGGCGTCGCTCACGTCATTTTATTACCTAGCCTTCTCTACCTACTCTACTCTACCTACCCTACTCTACCTACCCTACTCTACCTACTCTACTCTACCTACCCTACTCTACCTACCCTACTCTACCTACTCTACTCTACCTACCCTACCCTACTCTACCTACTCTACTCTACCTACCCTACTCTACCTACTCTACTCTACCTACCCTACCCTACCCCACTCTACCTACCCTACCTACCCTACTCCACTTACCCTACTCTACCTGCCCTACTCTACCTACCCTACTCTACCTACCCTACTCTACCTACCCTACTCTACCTACCCTACTCTACCTACCCTACTCTACCTACCCTACTCTACCTACCCTACTCTACCTACTCTACTCTACCTACCCTACCCTACTCTACCTACTCTAGTCTACCTACCCTACTCTACCTACCCTACTCTACCTACCCTACTCTACCTACCCTACTCTACCTACCCTACCTACCCTACTCTACCTACCCTACTCTACCTACCCTACTCTACCTACCCTACTCTACCTACCCTACTCTACCTACCCTACTCTACCTTCCCTACCTACCCTACTCTACCTACCCTACTCTACCTACCCTACTCTACCTACTCTACTCTACCTACCCTACTCTACCTACCCTACTATACCTACCCTACTCTACCTACCCTCCCCTACCTACCCTACTCTACCTACCCTTCTCTACCTACCCTACTCTACATACCCTACTCCACCTACCCTACTCTACCTACCCTACTCTACCTACCCTACTCTACCTACCCTACGCTACCTACCCTACTCCACCTACCCTTCTCTACCTACCCTACTCTACCTACCCTACTCCACCTACCCTAATCTACCTACCCTACTCTACCTACCCTACGCTACCTACCCTACTCTACCTACCCTACGCTACCTACCCTACTCCACCTACCCTACTCTACCTACCCTACTCTACCTACCCTACTCTACCTACCCTGCTCTACCTACCCTACTCTACCTACCCTACTCTACCTACCCTACTCTACCTACCCTACTCCACCTACCCTACTCTACCTACCCTACTCTACCTACCCTACTCTACCTACCCTACTCTACCTACCCTACTCTACCTACCCTACTCTACCTACCCTACTCTACCTACCCTACTCTACCTACCCTACTCTACCTACCCTACTCTACCTACCCTACTCTACCTAACCTACACTACCTACCCTACTCTACCTACCCTACTCTACCTAACCTACACTACTTACTCTGTCCTTCTCCTAGTTCTTTGTTACCTCCTTACGAATTTTCAGCTAAATCGGTTAAGCCTTTTTTGAGTTATAAGTGGAGTAACTAACACGACTTTCTTTTATATATATAGTTACGTATAATCTTACTTCTTGCACCAACCATGGGCTCATCTCTGCATCACCCAATGCTCGACTGGTATAAAATGCCTAAGGCGTTAAAGTCCGCCTATGTACCCATTGTGCATTCAGTTTAAACTTCTCTTTTCTTCTTCTCTTCCCACAGCACTTCAATACCAGAGACTAGGAAGCCTCCATGGTCCTGTTGTGGCCCAGAATTGTACCCAGACAATTGCACTACGTCTCTCATGTACGAGAAGGTAAGACCATTATTCCATTCTAGTCATGTAATCTTACCCAATGTAGTCATAATTATGTCATTTTTACCCAATGTAGTCATAAGTCACACTTACCCATCATAGTCATAAAATAAATATATGGTAGCGAGGTTCACTGTCCAGTGACACACGGTACGCTGGTATAGTCATGAGCTAATGTTGACATGTAAACAGCGACTCACGTAGTGTAGAGATTGTCCAGTCAACTGATGGTAGCGAGGTTCACTGTCCAGTGACACACGTACGCTGGTATCGTCATGAGCTAATGTTGACATGTAAACAGCGACTCATGTAGTGTAGAGATTGTCCAGTAAACTGCTGGTAGTGAGGTTCACTGTCCAGTGACAAACGTACGCTGTATCGTCATGAGCTAATGTTGACATGTAAACAGCGACTCATGTAGTGTAGAGATTGTCCAGTCCACTGATGGTAGCGAGGTTCACTGTCCAGTGACACACGGTACGCTGGTATAGTCATGAGCTAATGTTGACATGTAAACAGCGACTCGTGTAGTGTAGAGATTGTCCAGTCAACTGATGGTAGCGAGGTTCACTGTCCAGTGACACACGTACGCTGGTATCGTCATGAGCTAATGTTGACATGTAAACAGCGACTCATGTAGTGTAGAGATTGTCCAGTCAACTGATGGTAGCGAGGTTCACTGTCCAGTGACACACGTACGCTGGTATCGTCATGAGCTAATGTTGACATGTAAACAGCGACTCATGTAGTGTAGAGATTGTCCAGTAAACTGCTGGTAGTGAGGTTCACTGTCCAGTGACAAACGTACGCTGTATCGTCATGAGCTAATGTTGACATGTAAACAGCGACTCATGTAGTGTAGAGATTGTCCAGTAAACTGCTGGTAGTGAGGTTCACTGTCCAGTGACAAACGTACGCTGTATCGTCATGAGCTAATGTTGACATGTAAACAGCGACTCATGTAGTGTAGAGATTGTCCAGTCAACTGATGGTAGCGAGGTTCACTGTCCAGTGACACACGTACGCTGGTATCGTCATGAACTAATGTTGACATGTAAACAGCGACTCATGTAGTGTAGAGATTGTCCAGTCAATTGATTGTAGCGAGGTTCACTGTCCAGTGACACACGTACGCTGGTATCGTCATCAGCTAGTGTTGACATGTAAACAACGACTCATGTAGTGTAGAGATTGTCTAGTCAACTGATGGTAGCGAGGTTCACTGTCCAGTGACACACGTAAGCTTGTGTTATGATGAGCTAATTGATGCTTTTGTTCCAGGATTGTCACGCCTCAATAGTGAATTGGTTAGACCGCTACCAGTTGTCGATATATACGTCTCTAGCAGTATTCCACGTTATAATAGCATCGTGCGCTATCATACGACGGTCAAATTCTAAATCGCAGCGTCTTAGCTAGCGATCGCAGCGGCGCGTTAGCGGTGAGTGAATTTTATTTTATTTGTAAGTTTCTTTAGTTTGTTTTTTTTTAAACATTTCCCTATACTTACTTATTATGACTGCGCGGTTGGTGCGGTAGCCGAGCAACCAGCTGCCACGCAACAAATCGCAGGTTCGATTCCCACTCGGGCACCTCTTTTTGTGATCCACGAATTGTTGTTCCGGGTCTGGGTGTGATGTGTATGGGAATTCGTATGTTTCTAAACCCACCCATGACACATAAAAAATACTAGAATGGGGTAAACGTATTTTTAAAAAGAAAAAAGAAAGATATCCAATTATTTCAAATAAAACGTATTTAACTCTTTTACAATATCTAACTGACGCAATAAATAGTTTTTTTTATTTTTTTTAAAGCATGCTTATCAATACCTTTGTTATAAATAAATACGTAGATGGGGAAATGCAGTCTTATCCGCTATTCATATGAACAAAATAAATTAATGATCTTCTCCTTCCATTTCAGCGTCACCACAGCCAGAACCTTCAGAGGTTCCCAGGTTAAGACCTGCATGGAGTAACCGCGTCGCCCCGACAGTGGAGCCATCTAACGAAGACGTTATAATGCTAGTCGTAGGAAGAGCAAGGCTAGGATGGGTAGATAAATAAAAAAATGTGATTATACTGGGTAGAGTGGAATTTATGACTAGTCTGGGTAGAAGAATGAAGTTTGTGACTAAGTTGGGTAATGGAGAAAAATTCAATTTTTCTGGGACTTAAAAGCGTGACTTTTCTGGGTAGAATAAGTTGGGTGAGAATAATTCGAAGATTGGGTCGTTTTTGGATTTATTGAAAATTGATTTTGGAATATGGTGTTTAAAAAAATGGAATACATGGATCAGTGATTTGTAGTTTTGTAACTTAGATTATAATTAATGCCAGTCTTAGTTTTTAATTAACGCATTAACCCGTAAAAACCTTTATAAGTTGTGTCAGCACAAATACAGTAATAAAATAGACATGTTAGATAAAATATTAAACAAATGATACATTTATCACTACATAGTATAAAAAAGTCGCTTTCTCTGTCCCTATATCCCTGTGTACGCTTAAATCTTTAAAACTACGCAACGGATTTTGATTCTGTTTTTTTATAAGACAGAGTTATTGAAGAGGAAGGTTTATATGTATACCTAACTAGCTATTATTTTCTGTGAGGCCTTAGTGTCACTCCGGTCGAACCGACCCGTTCCTGCCGAAGCATGGCTCTCCCACGCTTAATATTATATGTATAAATACTATTTTAGCATTATTATTTTTATAGTACCTACCTACAGCTTAATAAAAATATTTTACAATTCATTTGTTTTTTTTTTTATTAATATGACTGTAGTAAATATTATTTCTTTACAAACTTTTTCCTGACTACAGAACTGTAAGATAGGAATGGTCAGTTTCTTCCAACCTGTAAACTTTATTTAATAGTAAAATGTGAAAGTTTGTATGGATGTATGAATGTATACTTGTTATTTTTTCACGCAAAGACTTTTTTGTAAGAGGAAAATCATCAATCACAAATTGACTGAAAAGTTGAAAGGGAACGTCTTGGTATGGCCATGTAAAAAGGAGGGATGAAACGCATGTTACAAAAAAACCCATGAGTATAAATGTGGATGGATGAAGAGGGAGAGGGAAACAGGCAGGAAGATGATGATGTTTTTTTATGCTATAAGTCGGCAAACGAGCAGACGGATTACCTGATGGTAAGCAATCGGCGCCGCCTATGGACACCCGCAACACCAAAGGAGTTACGAGTGCGTTACCGGCCTTTAGGAGTTAGGGGGCAACGTACTCGTAACTCCTTCGGTATTATCATAATCCTATAGGGGTTGCGAATATAAAAGGATCGGGAAGGGATAGGCGAAAGGGCGGGATTGGGCCTCCGGTAACCTCACTCACACGGCGAAACACAACGTCGTGGTTGTTTCACGCCTGTATTCTGATATTGAATATAACTACTAACTAAGTTTGAAAATATCATATTGTAACTAAAAACTGGGTAAAAACTATCGATTACGTTCGTGTAGAGTGACCCAATTAGTATTTCATTCGATCGCGTGTCAAATTATTGCATTTTCTAACTGGGGCAGAAGGGTTTAACTGGAAAACTTACCTACATAATTCCATCAAAATTCAGTACTTACCTACATAATTCCTCAAACTTTTATAATACGGTAGTTACTATTTCCAACTAGTAATTCAATACTTTTATCCAAATGTCAATAATGATACTTTTGCTATGAAAACTCCAAATTTTGACGTCATAGCTTTTTTGCGTCAAATAATAGGTCTTCTTTACCTATGAAATTGCCGTTTTGCATGAAAAAATTTAAACGAATTTTTTGATTTGAAATGCGATGAAAATGTAACACTAATCAATAAACAAATGACTACTTTTGGAAAAAGAATCCCATGTGTAAGTGTGGGAGAGCCATGCTTCGGTATGAATAGGTCGGCTCGACCGGAGTGATACCACGGCCTCACAGAAAACCGGCGTGAAACAACCACAGCGTTGTGTTTCGCCGTGTGAGTGAGGTTACCGGAGGCCCAATCCTTCCCCTCCCCCAATCCCTCCTCAATCCTTAAATCTCCAAATCCCTAAACCCCAAAAGATCGGCAACGCACTCGTAACTCCTCGGTTGCGGGTGTCCATGGGCGGCGTTGATTACTTACCATCAGGTAATCCGTCTGCTCGTTTGCCGATATAACACATAAAAAAAATGTTTTTAAAACAAAATTAATTAGCCTTAGCCTAACAAAAACTATTTTGATTTGAAATGGCCAGTTCTGCAGAACCTATTAGCTTACTTATTTCTTAAATATTAGCTAAAATGTAGTGTATCGACCGATCGATGAATAAAAGTATACTATAGTTATTTTTCAATTCATTTTTGTATTGAAACGTCAAATTTTTTTTGACATATGAAACTAACCAATTAAATCATAAATTGGCAATGGGGAATGTTATAGTAAAGGATAACTTCGATAAAACTAATAAATAATGTTATAATTTAAATAATATCAAAATACGCCTTCAATATACTGTGTATATTCACTGTACAAATGTTACTGCACGGTTAGCGCGATGGCTGGGCAACTGGCTGCGGCGCAACGTGTCGCGGGTTCGATTCCCGCACGGAACAACTCTTTGTGTGATCCATAAATTGTTGTTTCGGGTCTGGGTGTGATGTGTACTTATTTTTTTTGTGTGGGGAAAATCATCAAATGACTTTTCCTGCCCAGGGCCGGGCGGGGTGTCAGACTCTTACTGACTAAAAACTCTCCCGTTTCTTCTCCTGCTCTGGGCCGAGGTCGCGGTGCCTTATTGCGCTTACCCCGCAACCCCGGCTGAACTGTACTTATTTGAAGTTGTATGTTTGTAAACGCACCATGCACCACACGATGCAGGAGAAAATCCTGGTGTGAAGCAACGTAAAACGTAATAATAATACAAGTCATTATAAAAAAGGTTTTATTGTGTTTCAAAATTATTACAATACATGTAAAATTAAATATACATACGTTTGTCAAAATATTTTAAGTTACATATTGATTAGTGACCAATATTTGAACACGTGATTGTACTCATGAATTTTTTTTTCTATAGGTGCTTCCCTACTAGTTATATATTTTTTTTTATTTGCGATACATCAGAAAACGAGATTACGGATTACCTGATGGTAAGAAACCCTTATCCCTTATAGGCCGGGGACACACTCGTAACTCCTTTAGTGTTGCATTTGTCCATGGGCGGCGCTGATTGCTTACCATCAGGTAATCCGTCGGCTCTTATAACACAAAAATTAAATTAAAAATTTAAAAAAACCCCCGAATTTATAAAAACCAAATGTAATCCATAAAGCGCCATTTTGAAGAGGCAGCCATCTTAGATTTTAAATTTTTCATACCTAATAGTATTTCACTAGTCAAGCCCTTTCATTTGATACCCATATTGATCAAGTTGTAATAAAAAAATGTAAAGCACCATTTTGTAGAAGCAGCCATCTTGTATTTTAAATTTGTCATAACTAATAGTATTCTACTAGCCAAGCCCTTTCATTTGATACCCATATTGATGGAGTTTAAAAAAATATCTAATCTGTGATTTTGTGGCGGCGGCCATCTTGGAACAATTTTCATCAAACTTACGTAAAAACACTCTTGATATTTTCTACTGTCAAACAAAAAAAACTAAATCAAAATCAGTCCATCCGTTCGGCGGCTAGAGTGGTACAGACAGACACACACACACACACACACACACACAGACACGTCAAACTTATAACACCCCGTCGTTTTTGCGTCGGGGGTTAAAAAACAAAATCATGAAGGGACATCTTCATCATCTTCAACATTGAGCTGTATTTCTCTATACACGTTTAGTTTCCATGACAATGACAATAAATGCTAAGCTGTACGGTCACACTCTACATCCATAAAAAAGGTGTAGTTGCATAAACTATAATTGAATTGAAAAAACTAGCTTCTCTCGCGCGGTTTTACCCGCTACTCGGCTGTTTTAATAGCACTAAAAACATTGTAGCTATTCATCAGTGAAAGAATTTTGGCAATCCGACCAGCGGTTCCAAACATTACACCCTATATACAAACTTACAAATTTTACCTCTATAATATTAGTAGTATATATATATGTATATAAATCAATACCACTTTTCGTTATAATGTTATAACTCAACAATGCCTTTACCGCTTTGGCTAATTTTGGTCTTGAATATTATTCGTGGAAAGTTTAAAAGGTCAGAAATTTTAGTTAATATTGAGGCGAAACAAAGTTTGCCTGGTCAGCTAGTTTTCTTTTTTAATTACATACGGTACCTATACAATTTCTTTTTTTTTGCTAAAATGATAATGGATTTAATGAACTCGAATTTTAAGAAAGCATTTAAAGAAAGTTTTAGTAATAATATGACCTAGGTTTTTTGTCGTAATCCTTGTGTTCTTCCAAGATGGCGGTCAGATAATTGATTCGAAGAGTTTCGTGAGATACGCCAACTTCTTTTACCTGGGAACAATTAAAGAAATTTTGAATTAGGTACTATTATAGCTTACTTATTTCCTAAAAACCAACAAAAAATATCGAACATTTTGTGTACCTATCGACAGACCGTTATTTTTCAATATTTTATTATATTGAAACGTCGAATTAATTTATTTTAACTACCCAATTCTAAGTAAACCAACACTAGGTTTCCAGCTAGGTGGACTGACGATATCCGAAAGGCTCGCAGTGGTTGGATGGAAAGAGCTTGTAGCGTAACATCTACTGCTCAATACGCAGCAACAGAACAGCGGTATAACAAGATCTCTAAATATAATAAGTTCTCGAAGCAATTAAAACTAGTTAGTACAAAAAATCTATATTTATATAAGAAAGTCGTATTAGTTACTCCACTTATAACTCAAGAACGGCTGAACCGATTTAGCTGAAAATTGGCAGGGAGGTAGTTTAGAGCCAGGAGAAGGACATAGGATAGAGTAGGTTAGGTAGAGTAGGGTAGGTAGTGTAGGGTATATAGAGTAGGGTAGATAGAGTAGGGTAGGTAGTGTAGGGTATATAGAGTAGGGTAGATAGAGTAGGGTAGGTAGTGTAGGGTATATAGAGTAGGGTAGATAGAGTAGGGTAGGTAGAGTAGGGTAGGTAGAGTAGGGTAGGTAGTGTAGGGTATATAGAGTAGGGTAGATAGAGTAGGGTAGGTAGTGTTAGGGTACATAGAGTAGGGTACATAGAGTAGGGTACATAGAGTAGAGTAGGATAGGTAGAGTAGGGTAGGTAGGGTAGGTAGAGTAGGGTAGGGTAGGTAGGTTAAGTAGGGAAGGTAGCGTAGGTAGGGTAGGTAGGGTAGGTAGGTTAGGGTAGGTAGGGAAGGTAAAGTAGGTAGGGTAGGTAGAATAGGTAGGGTAGGTAGAGTAGGATAGGTAGGGTAGGTAGGATAGGTAGGGTAGATAGGGTAGGTAGGATAGGTAGGGTAGATAGGGTAGGTAGGGTAGGTAGGGTAGGTAGGGTAGTTAGGGTAGGGTAGGTAGGGTAGGTAGAGTAGGGTAGGTACTCAAATGACGGGAGCGACGCCGCGGGTAAGAGCTAGTACAAAATAAAATATAATACACGATAACAACCGTTCGGGCAGTAGGCCACCAGACACACCACTGATCTGGTCGGAGACTTCTCTTTTCAATGGAGGATGAGAAATTTAACACACTGTTCTCTCATCCCCCTAAACGATGAATATGGAGTTCAGTGGCGTGCTACTGGAGAGGGCTATGGCTATGCCCAGCAATGGACGGAATCGGGCTGATGATGATGTATTTAAACTTACTGTAACAGCTGCAGCTTTAGAATTATTATCTTCAGCACCAGAAATATGTCTGAACAGCTTCGCTACCATGATGTATAGGATCTCCACAAGGCTTATGAAACTTGCGCCCAGGAACAAACCTGCAGCCCCTCCAAATGAAACTGTGAAATAAAAGTAATAGCTAATTATTTGTGAACTTGATTGTCACTACATAGTATAAAACAAACTCGCTTTCTCTGTCCCTATATCCCTATGTATGCTTAAATCTATAAAACACGCAACGGATTTTGATGCGGTTTTTTAATAGATAAAGTGATTGAAACAATGAAAGAATGAATTTATTTTTGTAAATAGGCCATAAAACAGCGCTTATACACGTCAGAAATTATATGTAAAAAACTAGATGAAGCCGGCATTTCCTATCTGACTACTCTGAGAAGAAATGCCGAAACAAACTCAGAGGTTAGTCTCTTTTCAAGTCCAGACAATGTAAAATTAACATAATGTGCAAGAACTGGAAAATTGAAAGTTTATCTTTATACGTACTGATAATAATATATTTTAAGAAAAAAAAATACAGTAACAATTTGATTTGACAGGCAAATAAAATTGTCATTTTAAAATTTCGAGAGGGTTCGGAGTTCGTCGCAATAATAGTTTTTAATTAATCTTTTCCAATATCCTAAGGCTGAAGAGTTTGTTAGTTATCTCCCGAATACTGGATAAAATTATTATGTTTGTGTTGGGTGAACCATTAATTGAGGATGGCTATAAAACATCACGCTACAAGACCTACAAAAGTTGCTTAGCGTGACACCACAACAAGAATTGAATTGTAAATGATACCGCAGAACATACTTATTTCTACATAATTAGACAAAAATTGATGTAATACCGTCTTTTAAATTTACAAATTGTTTCTATTACCTAGGTCCCATTTGGGCGCCAAAAATTTGAAGTGGCGCCCAAATGGGACAAAATTTTGGATTTTATATTAAAACGGTTGTACATCCTTTATATAGCTCTTCTTTAAGAATTAATTTTAATACTTGACTTTGACTTTGACTTTAATTTTAATAGCCTTCCACAAAAAATTAACTATCCTACAACATCCTTTGCCTAGCAATGGGATATTAAGGGCTAGTAATGATATTAATTATAATTAATTAAGTTTGCCAGTCACTCCTTGCTTGTTTATCCGTATGTATCAATAATGGTCAGGGGCAGGGTATTTCTATAGTTATCATCTACCAGTCCATAGCCACCCAAAACCCATAACTATATAATTTTCTACCATATTGCACAATAGCCCTGCATCAACCGGGCATTGTCCTTTGTTGCATTCGGCCATCTCGCAGAGATCGTACGCCATCCAAAGGTCCGGGACCCTATGGTCCCGAGAATAAGACCAACATACTTAACAATAAAAATAGGATCACCGACAAATTTCAAGCTGAACCGGGGCTCATAAACCAATGCATCTTGTTTGCATTGCGAAAATTTTCCTACATATTTTGGGAGGATTAAAATTCTAATGTTCTCAATTACGTAATTAACTAACCAACTAGGTCCTGGAAGTGGAACACGATCTCCCTGGTGTACCTGGTCTGCGGAGGCTGGACAGAGTACTTTATAGAGCCATGCTGATTGAACGGAGGATTTTTCCTGCAAATAAAACCTTATTTAGAAGTGTATAAGGTTAATTTTTATTCTTTGTGGGATTTCTTGGAGTGTTGTCGAGTCATGTTTTTTTTATGTAATAGATCGGCAAACGAGCAGACGGATTACCTGATGGTAAGTAATCAGCGCCGCCCATGGACACCCGCAACGGAGAAGTTACGAGTGCGTTGTGCGACTTTTTAGGGATAAGGGATTTGGAGATTTAGGGATTTAGGAGGGATTGGGGGAGGGGAAGGATTGGGCCTCCGGTAACCTCACTCACACGGCGAAACACAACGCTGTGGTTATTTCACGCCGGTTTTCTGTGAGGCCGTGGTATCACTCCGGTCGAGCCGACCCATTCGTGCCGAAGCATGGCTCTCCCACACTTGAACTGTGTTTACTGACTAAAAACCAACCCGTTCTATTTTCTGATTCATTCAGTACATTTTTGCACTGTTGAGTAAAGGCTCCGTCTTAATCACCACACTTGCTCAAGGCGGATTAGCGATTTCAAACTTCTAATTTCAGGTTTATTTTCCATATTCTGGCAATGGTGTCTAAATAATCTCAGACAGTACATATCTCGGAAAAAGTCAAATTGGTACTTGCCAAGTTTCGAAGCCACCATGAATACGAAACGAAAACGCGCTGTAGGTACACTCAAATTTATTTTAAATTCGGAGAGTTTACGATTAAGTATGGGAGAACCATGCTTCGGCACGAGTGATATCACGGCCTCACAGAAAACCGTTATAAAAAAACCACAGACTTATGTTTCGGCGTGTGTTTTTTATCGGAGGCCCAATCCCTCCCCCTCTCCCCATCCCTTCCCAGTCCTAAAACATTCAAAACCCTTATCCCCAAAAGGCACAACGCACTCGTAACTCCTTTAGTGTCCATGGGCGGCGCTGCTTGCTTACCATCAGTTCAACAAAGACGAGTCTACATGGGCGAAGCAGACGGTAAAAGCTACTCACCACACCTGTTCTTCAATAATCATCTCCTTGTAGTTGCAGTCAATGCACTGCGGTACGCAGGAGCATTTCCTGTCATCATTCTTCAGCAACTTTTGCGCGTTTTTTGCCAAACACCACATGCCTTTCGGTGTGCAGGTTGGACCATCTGGATTGATAAGCCATTAGTGGTTATGGAAGCTAACAAGAAAACGGATTACCTGATGGTAAGCAATCTTTGCTACGTATACCCTCAATATAAGAGTTAAGAAGGGGTTGGTGGGCTTTTGGGTGACGTAGATTTGTGGATTAGGGATTTAGCGCTTGAGGATGAGAGATTGGGAGGATTGGGCATTGCAGGCATTGTCTTACACCGGTTTTCTGTAAGGGTCGTGATATCACTTCAGTTAATTCGAAACAGCATCAGCAGCAGTCCGAGGCAGAGGCAGCGGTGTCTTGTTGCGCTCATCCCGCCACCCCAGCTACGGGTTAAGGTTTTAAGGATTATGGATTTGTGGATAGGGGTGAGGGACTATGACTGTTTCGCTCATACAGTGAAATACAACGCAGCGTTTTTACTCTAGTACAGCCGGTCGATTTATGCTGAATGGCCGAAGCACGTGTGCGCAGTAATACCACGGCCTTACAGAAAACCAGCATGAAATAACCACAGCGTTGTGTTTCGCCGTGTGCCTGAGGTTACCGGAGGTCTAATCTTTCCCCTCCCCCAATTTCTTAATCCCTAAAAGATTGGCAATTCACTCGTAACTCAAGTGTTGTTGCCTGGGTGTCTATGGGTGGTGCTGATTGCTTATCATCAGGTAATCCGTCTGCTCGTTTCCCGACCTATACCATAAAAAAGCACATTCCTCAATTGTTTCCTAAGTGGCAGTATGACCACTCATAATATCAGAATATTATCAGAATTCATTACCATCATAAAAATAATAGAATGGCACACAGTCACAGAGCTCTCTTGCTAACTTGCTCCTGCATGCGAGTCGGCAGGTGTTGGTGCTGTGGACCTGTAAAAGAAAATAATGTTACAACAACCCCCCTCTTTTTGAGGAGGACATATCATCAATTGTCTTTTTTCCCCTATGGTATGGCGAGAGGGAGTGTCAGACTCTTACTGACTTAAATTCCTTATTGCACTTACCCCGCAACCCCGGCTGAACATCAGCCCTATAGGGCCCCGTCTGTTGTGGTCTATTGGCTCTTTGAGGCGCGTGGAACACTACGCACCGCTCATTCGGTACAACAATGTCTTGTAAGTTTGTGGGCTATGAAAGGCCTTTCTAATTTCTGGTTTCCATGAGCGTTGGCGATTGCTTACTATCAGGTAATCCGTCTTATTAAGTATCTACATAAAAAAGCAAAAATGAAGTGGAGAGAAGAATCCAGGAAATCCTTAGGTATATTTGACTAGAAAAAAATTCGATTCAAAAAACTTTTTGAAATAGAAATTCTTGTCCTTATTGTGTAATAAAAGCACATACAAATGTAACTTCCCGGTGTTGAAGAAATCCATAGGCGATATTGTTTTGCTTACCATCAGGTGACAACACTAGTATTTTACCGAACTATTCCATAAAAAAGAGAACTTAGATGATCGAAATGTAATGCTATTTTCAACCTGACTACTTTTTTGACTGAACGGTTGGCCCGGTGGCTGGGCAACTGGCCGCAACGTGTCAAGGGACACTCGCACGGAACAACTCTTTGTGTGATCCACAAATTGTTGTTCCGTGAGTCTGGGTGTGATGTGTATGTGAGGGGAAAATCATCAAATGACTTCACCCGCCCAGGTCTGGGTGGGAGGGAGTGTCAGACTCTTACTGACTACTGCTCTCTGCTCTGGGCCGAGGACGCTGTGCCTCATTGCGCTAACCCCGCAACCCCGGCTGGTGATGTGTATGTGACATTGTATGTTTGTAAACGCACCCACGACACAGGAGAAAATCCAAGAGTGGAGCAACGTTTTTTTAAAAAAGAAAATGTAAACCTACCTTCCTCCCGCTTAATCGAGGCTCATCCATATAGGAACACCCTCTTCTGGAGGGACTCAGATCCTTGACTCCTCTTCCGCATCTAGACTCCATAACACTCAGCTCAGTTGCCCGGACCAGTGTCAGTATGATGTCAGTCCAGTCGACTGATAAATCCATCAGGTCGTAGGGGGAATGGACGTAGAACTGGATATAGATAGGAAAAAAATGCTTAAGTAGGGGAGAGCCATGCTTCGGCACGAATGGGTCGGCTCGACCGGAGTGATACCACGGCCTCACAGAAAACCGGCGTGAAACTACCACAGCTTTGTGTTTCGCCGTGTGAGTGTGGTTAACGGAGGTCCAATTCCTCCTCGGCTCCCATTCCTTCCTTATCCTTAAATATCCGAGACCCTCATTCACAAAAGGCCGGCAAAGCACTTGTACCTAACTCATTTTTTGTTGCGGGTGTCCATGGGCGGCGCTGATTGCTTACCATCAGGTAATCCGTCTGCACTTTTGCCGACTTATCCTATAAAAAACATCTTACCCTTCCATTTGCAGTAATGTCCGTGATGATGAAGCAGCTTACAGAAGCGTAGGCACAGCTACCAGGCCAACCAGCAGTGGCGTTTGATTTCAGAGGCCTAAAGACGAAAAAGTAAAAACAGTAAAAAATATCATTACTGCCGACTTCGGGAATGAACTAAGAAAAACTGCATTGTGATTCTGTAAGACCTCATTCTGAACTTCGAATCTGAATCCGCCGTGAGTAGTAGTACACTAGCGCTACACTTGCGAGTTGAACTAAATTGACAGCATCATTTTGATAGATAAAGTATGAGATGACGTTAAAAGTGGCATTCTAAAATTTAATTTCCCCGTCACTTCAACGCTCACTTCGCACTCGAACACGATTCAAAATTAAACAAATTTTATAGAATCGACGTGCTGTACTAGTTTCTCAAGTCATAGCCGAGCGCTGATAGATGAAATTTGGCACAAGCATAGGATACACTTCTGAATAGGACATAGGCTACTGTTTATCAACATAGCATGCAGACGAAACCGCGTGCGGAAGCTAAAAAATTTTAAAAAAATTTGAATAAAAACAATCATCTACAAGTTTTCTTCTTGTTGCACCTACCATACTCTCTCTGTGTGACCCTAAGGTCGACTAGTAAGAATGTATGGCATTTATGTTGCCAAAAAAAAAATTAAAAATCCCCTGACAAAAATGTAATATTCCTTAACAAAGTAATAATTAAAAGAAAACGTGGCGTTGGGGGACCGATCCAAATATTTTATTATCAACTACATAAAAATTAATATTTCTATTTTGTCGGGGGTCTAATTTATTTTTTTATTTGTATTTATATGTATATGTATATGTATTTTATATCATTTTCTATCTTTATTATGTCATCAACATTCCCTTTCAGTGCGCTTTCATTTGACACCCCACTCGAGTATATTTGCAGACCTTCGGTTACCCTTCCCCACTTATCAACTCATAACTTCTAAACGGCTCAACTGATTTTCGTCAAACATGTCTAAGAACACTCGCAACTCAGAATACAGAACAACTCGCAAGTAAGTCACTTTTAATACAAAAAAAAAACTAAATTGTAATTGCTTGACCCGTTCAGGCTCCAGGATGCCACAGACAGACAGACAGACACGTCAAACTTATAACACCCCTCTTTTTGAGTCGGGGGTTAAAAAAGCATTTTGCAACAGCAATACTAGAAACCTGTGTCGCAGTTTTCAGCGGCACTCTTCAGGTAAGAAATAAAACAGTTCCAGTTTATAAAACCGAAGATGCGGTGAAGAAAAGAGATATTTTAAGCCAGCTCACCCGATTGCTACATCAGCAATCGCCAGGCAGTTGGTAGTGTGACAGACTCCTGCTTCAGTCATCACTGGAATCCACGTGTACGCTACTCCATCTGAAGACTTCGTTTTTATAACGTTGTCGGGCATAACCTGGTCATCATCATCATGAGTTTTAGGAGTAAATTACGCTAACATCAACTGTAGACATGTTTTATTAGCAAAGGCTGTGTGAGATCTAAGAATTTTCATTTTAAAATTGTTTTTGCAGCTTTTTTGAGGAGGCGAAGTTCATTTCTCTGGCCTTGGGTGAGGCGAGACGGTGTGTCAGACTCTTACTGACTAAAAAAACAAACAAATATTTCCTCTGTGTCATATCTATACTTACAGTCATCATCATCAGCCTATAAAGTGCTTACTGCTGAGCAAAGGCCTCTTGTATCACGGAGAAGGTTTGAGCATTACCACCACGCTTGTTCAAGGCGGATTGGCGATTTCAAACTTATAATTAGAAATTGTAAGTCCAGGTTTCCTCACAATGTTTTCCTTCACCGTAAGTCAGTGGTGTCTTAATAAGCTTAAAAGTACATATAACTCGGAAAATATTGTCACATTAGTACTTGCTAGGTTTTGAACCGCACTCTCTTGCATGAGAAACGGGGATCTTAACATCTAGTCCACCATGGCTTTAGAATTATATAATATTAGTATAGAAGAGCTAAGTGAACAAATTACTTTCTCGTTCTATCTTTCTTCCTCTCTCGATTACCTTGGGATTCAGAATGTATGCCAAAACCATATTGTACTCACATCAACAGCCACACCGAACATGTCAACGCTGGTCTCCATATCCCCAAATTCCTGGAACCCCTCAAGGTGTAGGATGTCAGAATTGGCGATGGCCTTCACCAGCCTTACATAGAACTGGTATTGATCATCAGAAGGGTCTGTTCCGAAGTACTTCTTAACCACAACTGGCAACTTCTTATTGTCCACTCGATTCTGTGTGAAAGATTTTTAATAGGCCCACTTGTATGTCTTTTGAAACTCTTTTTCTAAAACTTTGTTAAGTATTTAGACCTTGACGTATTGTGTACTAGCTTTTTAGCTCGCGTGGAATAATGACGTCCTGCTGATTTTTGGCATATAAAAACTATCGTATCGCCCTTTCTCGAGTTCCAAACTATGTCTGTACCAAATTTAACAGAAATCGGCTCAGTAATTTAGGCGTGAAGGAAAGACAGACAGACAGAGTTACTTTCCTAATATTAGTTTGGATTTGGATGAGTACTGAGTTTCATTTAAATCTATTTAGATTTTTTTACGGAGAGCGACCGGAGAAATACTGCGGCCTCACAGCAAACCAACGTGAAACAACCACGTTGTTGTGTTTCACCGTGTGAGCGAAGTTACAGGAGGGCCAACTTCACCTCCGCCCACAAATTCTTGAATCTCCCATTAATCCCTAATAATCCACATACTTGGCTAGACTGCTTGCCTTATATGTATAGTTTGCACAACTGTAGTAACTCTTTTGGTATTACAAATGTCCAAAGGCGGCATCGATTGCTTACCATCAGGTAATCCGTCTGCTCGTTTGCCGAAATATTACATAAAAAACACGCTTTTAGAAACATATTTAGCAATATAAATAATTTGATTAACTGCCAACTGTGCAGTATCTGGCAAATATGTATGTGGTTTCTTAGTCACTTGTTACTCACGTTAAGAATATAGCGGTAGGTCATATACCTCAAGGTATTTGATCACCACACGGCGATTAATACAATCCCTCCCATCCCTAAACACCCAAACCTCTAATCCACGTCGCGGTTGCTTACTTACCATCAGCTCCATCAGCTCCTTCAGGAGACAATCTACTCGTTAATCTCTCTATCCAATAAAAACATCTTTCCAAATTTACCTTCTCACCTTAAAACACAAGGTTTGAGCTGGTAGGTTAAACTCCCAGGACCTGAAGTCCTTTTCCATGGTCACAACCGTTGGAGACTCATTGTACCGCTGCAGCTGGCCTAGAGCCACATCCAGAGCTCCCCATACACAAAGAGCTGTCGCCACAATCCATAAAAGTCTGAAAAGAGAAACCTGGATACCATCTGTTGACACTTTTATTCTAAATCGGTTGTGTGAGAGCCATGCTAAGTTTGAGAGAGCCATGTTAGGTGTGAGAGTGCCATGATATGTGTAGGAGAACTATACTATGTGCGAGAGAGCCATGCTAATGTGAGAGAGATACTATGCTAAGTGCGAGAGTGCCATGCTAAGAGTAGTAGAGCCATGCTAAGAGTAGGAGAGCCATGCTAAGAGTAGGAGAGCCATGTTAAAAGTAGGAGTAACTTGTTAAGTGTAGGAGAGTTATGCTAAGAGTAGGAGAGCCATGATTAATGTAGGAGAGTCATGCTTAGAGTAGGAGAGCCATGCTATATTACTGGGGCGCCATTCTTATTTTTTTCTTTTTTTTAAAACGTTGCCCCACATTTCTCCTGTGTCGTGGGTGCGTTTACAAACATGCAATTTCACATACACATCACACCCAGACCCGGAATACCCCGGTCACCGGGGCGTGTGGAATCGGCGAGAGGTGTCGCGCGGTGTCCCACAGGGATCGGTCCTGGGACCTCTCCTGTGGAACATCGGGTACGATTGGGTGCTACGCACCGACCTCCCGAGCGGCGTCAGCATTGTTTGTTATGCTGACGACACGCTGGTGCTGGCGAACGGGAGGTCGCATCAGGCGGCGGCCGACCTGATGTCACAAGCGGTTGCGACAGTCGTTGCAAGGATCCGGCAGTTGGGACTCGAGGTGGCGCTCCACAAGTCCGAGGCCATGTGCTTCTATGGCCGTCGGAGCGCACCACCTCCAGGTGGGTCCCAAGTAACGGCAGGAGGAGTTACCATCGGCGTCGAGTCGGCGATGAAGTACCTGGGGCTCGTCCTCGACAGCCGATGGAACTTCACGGAGCATTTTCGTCGTTTGGCCCCTAAGCTAGAACGGTCTGGGGCCGCGCTCAAGCGGCTCCTTCCCAACCTCGGGGGGCCAAACGCCTCCTGCCGGAGGTTGTATATGGGGATAGTGCGATCCATGGCCCTCTACGGTGCCCCTGTGTGGGCGCCGGACTTGAAGCGGCGGCCGGCTCGTACGCTGGTCGCGTCCCAGAGGGTCATGGCTATCCGAGTAATCCGCGGATATCGCACGATCTCCGGGGAGGCGGCGAACCTCCTTGCCGGATCACCGCCGTGGGATCTAGAAGCGAAGGCGCTCGCGCGCGTCTACAGTTTGCGCGCAGACGCGCGTCGCCGGGGCGAAGATCCTCTGCCGCGCCAAATTAGTGCGTGGCGGAATGAGCTCCGGCGAGATCTCATGGCAGAGTGGAGACAACGACTGTCGCAACCGAGGGCCGGGCACGCTACCATAGCAGCGGTAAGACCCCTCTTTGAGGAGTGGCTTGAGAGACGCCACGGCGTCCTCACCTTCCGTTTGACGCAGGTGCTTACCGGGCACGGCAGCTTCGGTAGGTTCCTGTTTCGGATTCAGCGGGAGGAAACGCCCGAGTGTCGTCATTGTGAGGACCACCTAGAGGATACGGTGGAGCATACGGTAGCGGTATGCCCTGCCTGGGCTGAGCACCGCCGTATCCTCAGGGAAGTGATCGGCGGCGGCGACCTCTCGCGCCCGGCCTTAGTCGAGGCCATGGTGCGGAGTGAGAGGAACTGGGACGCCGTCTCCTCCTTTTGTGAAGCAGTCATGCTCGCAAAGAGAGAGGCGGCGCGCGTGAGGGAGCAATCCTCCTCCTCACGCCCCAGCAGCCGCAACTGGCGACACTACGGGCGTCGGGGATCGAGGGACGATCTCCGGCCACCGTAAGTACGGGCCTGCGGTCGGCGAGTAAGGGCAGCTCGCCGCCCGACCAGAACCAGGCCCGAGCGTACGGCGCGTAGCGTTCCGCGCGCGCCTCAAAGAGCCAATAGACCACCACAGACGGGGCCCTAAAAAGCTGATGTTCAGCCGGGGTTGCGGGGTAAGCGCAATGAGGTACCGCGACCTCGGCACAGAGCAGGAGAAGGAACAGGGGGGTTTTTAGTCAGTAAGAGTCTGACACTCCCTCCTGCCCGGCCCTGGGCGGGAGAAGTCATTTGATGATTTTCCCCTCACAAAAAAAAAAAAAAAAAAAAAAAAACCCAGACCCGGAACAACAATTTCTGGATCACACAAAGAGTTGTTGCGTACGGGAATCGAAACTGCGACACGTTGTACGGCAGCCAGTTGCCCAGCCACCGCACCAACCGTGCAGTCAAATTTTGGGACCATTCTAATTTTGGGAGAACCATACTAATTGAGGGTGAGTAATGCTTATTATAGGAGAGCCATGCTAATTGCGGGAAAGCCATGCTATGGTAAAGAAAGCCATGCTAATTGTAGGAGAGCCCTGCTATGTTGCCAAACTATGAGTTAGAGGACGCGGTATATTTGCCGTGCTATACGTTGAAAAATAAATTGTTGACAGATCAGAGAGAGCATAGTGAACCTCGCTACCATCAGTTGACTGGACAATCTCTACACTACACGAGTCGCTGTTTACATGTCAACATTAGCTCATGACGATACCAGCGTACGTGTGTCACTGGACAGTGAACCTCGCTACCGTCAGTTGACTGGACAATCTCTGCACTACAAGAGTCGCTGTTTACATGTCAACATTAGCTCATGACGATACCAGCGTACGTGTGTCACTGGACAGTGAACCTCGCTACCATCAGTTGACTGGACAATCCCAACCTTGCATGAGGATCTTACCTTTCAAACCAATGTCTTCGAGGTGCTGCTATGTGGATAAACCCATGCATGCTGGTCTCATTGCAAAAGTCTTTGCTGAAGCTGGTAACGGTCTTTATCGCAGAAGAAATGCATTTGGTCGTTGACTTCGGATGCTTCTGATGGTTGGTAGGGTATCCGATATTCTTCATCCTTTTTTTTTTAAGCTGGAATGGATTTTTTAAGAATGGAATCTCGTCACAATTTGCCAGTAAGTGGCCTGTTCTAAGGGTCCCGGTGAATTGGAGTGGTGCCATGTTTTGGCAGGAATGGGTCTTCTCGACCGGCTTCATATAATACCAGCGTAATGGAACATTATTTAGTCGTGTGAAGACCCAGTCTTTCTTCCGATCCTCAATACCCAAATCCCCAATGTTTAAGAACCCACAAAAAGTCAGAAACGCATATTTGTAAGCACATAACTCCATTGGTGTAGCGAGTGTCCAATAGCGCTTATTACTTACCATCAGAAACGAGTGGTCTTTTTCCGACAACGTGTCGCATTTGCGATCTCCGCACGAAACAACTCTACGTTGTATCGGTTTAATTGTTGTTCTGTCAGTCTGGGTGTGATGTGTATGTGACATTGTATGTTTGTTAACGCATTAATAACACAGGAGAAAATCCTACTGTCAGATGGGGTTCTATATGGCTGATATTCAGCCGGTTTTGCGGGGTAAGCGCAATGAGGCACAGCGACCTCAGCCCAGAGCAGGAGAAGGAACGGGGGAGTTTTTAGTCAGAGAAGAGAGTCTGACATTCTCTCCTACCCGGCCCTGGGCGTGAGAAGTCATTTGATGATTTACCCTTAAAAAAAAAGTAACGTTAAAAATAAAATGCAATAAAGAAAACAGACACTGACCTGATAAATTTTTGCTTTTGTCGTTATCTAGAAAGCGTCAACTAGCCCTTACGTTGCTTGTAATAACTATGAAAATTATGCTCAAAATAAATGCGGACTTGTTAAGCCAATAACAAATTTGTAATATTGTAAATTGCTTGTGATTATATCTGTCGTGACGGGATCCAATTAATGACTTTGCAGGTACACACAAAATGCATTAGTTAATTATTAAAATCGAATTGGTAATTTTTTACACCTTTTCTGTCACCGTGGTTGCAAGATCTTTATCATCCTTCAGGTGTTTTTTGGCTTGAGAATCATCGAATGAATTTTTCGCCCTGTCTGGCGCAAGAGGGAGTGTCAGGCTCTTTTTTATTTATTTAAGCCTTTCCTACATCCAAGACAAATATTACAAGAGTTTCCAACATCTTCCTGCTATCAATTATATCATCATTTCATCTAGTCTTTGGTCTTCCCCTTGCTCTCCGCTTTCGTCCAATCCAGTCAGACTCTTACTGACAAAAAATCACACCGTTCCTTAGCTGCGTCAGATCGGGGCCGCTACATTAGTAGACGCAAGTGCTTACTGAACATCGAAGTTTTGGGAGCAATCTGTTTCGGATCCAGAGGTAGAAAAAGAAAAAGCCCGAGTGTCGTCGTTGTGAGCATCACCCAAAGGATATAGTGGAGTAATCGACGTTATATAAATCGATAACACGGCGGTGCTCAGCTCAAATAGACCTTCTTTATTACTTCATTTAATTTTTATACTTGGGTTATCCGACAAGCAGTGTGATTCTGTAAGACTTCAATCTAAACTTCGAATCTGAATCCGCTGTCAGGATTAGGTAGTACACTAGCGCTACACTTGCGAGTTGAACTAAATTGACAGCAACATTTTGATAGATAAAGTATGAGATGACGTTAAAAGTGGCATTCTAAAATTTAATTTCCCCGTCACTTCGACGCTCACTTCGCACTCGAACACGATTCAAAATCAAACAAATTTTATAAAATCGACGTGCAGATCAGCTGTGGAGACCTCTCACTCTTGGCCTGAGTCTAGACCATTTTGTTTGTTTAGGCCTTTTAATTGAGGCATCTTCTTTATGCTTCTCATGCATGAGGGTTCGAAACCTGGCAAGTACCAATGTGACTTTTTCCTAGTAATATGTACTTTCTATGATTATTTAGACACCACTGACATACGGTGAAGGTAAACATCGTTAGGAAACCTGGACTTATGATTTCGAATTATAAGTTTGAAATCGCCAACCCGCATTGAGCAAGCGTGGTGATTAATGCTCTAACTTCTCCGTGTGAGAAGAGGCCTTTGCTCAGAAGTGGGCACTTATAGGCTGATGATGATGAATTGAGCACCATAATCGGCTCCTTAAATATCTCTCCGTTTAATGTATATTTTCCCAACCAATTGCCCAACCAGGCTGATTACGACGCACCATTTGATCCTAATTGACAATTTCCTCACAAATACTGATTCGTAAAAGTTATTTGACAATGGAGGCGTTGACATCGGTATAAATAGTCCACGATAGATCGCCATGTTTACGAAACTGTGACACGGCTCGATCTGAGTGATACCAAGGCCTCGCAGGCCGTGCGTGTAACCACCACAGCGTTGTGTTTCGCCATGTCAGTTAGGTTACTGAAGGCCCAATCCTTCTCCTGCCCAATCCATAAATCTCCAAACCATAAACATTAAAAAGGTGGGCAACGTACCCAAAACTCCTCCGTCGTTGCGAGTGTCCATGGGCGGTGCTGATTGCTTACCATCAGGTATTCCGTCTGCTGGTTTGCCTATCAGTTAAATAAATCCACGTTTTATGCAGCTGTGTAAGTTAGGTTAGTGGATCAAAAATTACGTCAAAAAGGCCGAAAAAAAGTCAAATCATATTATAATCATTATATTTACATTAGACCCTTCCAGGCACTTTTGAACGTTAAACAGAGAAAAAGTGTCAGTCTGTCGGTCAGTCCTCTAGTGAAGCTATTTGCTCGTTCCAAAGTGTACATTCCTATGGAGAAGAACGAGCAAGAAACTCCATGGTTACCTACTCTTTTTCAATCAGTTTCACAATTCATTTCTTTGTTATATTATTAAGTAAGTTCTATTTATGGTTAATTTTTTAACGTTGCGTGTTCAGCGGTAGGAACGGGATGGTTTTTAGTCAGTAAGAGTCCGACACTCCTTCTTGCCTCACCCTGGGCGCGAGATGTATTCCCCCCTTAAAAGAAAACCTGTCGCTTCCAAGTGTTACTTTGTTATGATTTCAAACGACTTAATAAAGACGAATATGTTTGTAACATTATCAATACAGATACCTACAACAAGCAAATAATAATATTTTGTTGATAAAAATAAACGATAAGTACATATCTAGTTGTCGCGTCCGTAGTGATTTAAAAACATGTGTTTTAAGTTTTTTATTTATATTATTTTTGGTAAGTTTTAATTTTAAATGTAAAATTTACATTTTTTGTTGTTATTTTAATGTTTTTAAAGGTTTTATTTCTTCACCATAGATAAACATAAACTTTTGGCGCACAAATTTCGTATTCATTTCGTTCTGTTTTCAAATTTTTGTTGTATATTTAAAAATACCTAATGGCTTTATAATGACATTGTTGGTTTAAATTATAACTTTTTAACAAGATACTGTGTTTGCGAAGTTCTTAAATTTTTTTTTTTTTTTATGTAATAGGTCGGCAAACGAGCAGACGGATTACCTGATGGTAAGCAATCAGCGCCGCCCATGGACACTCGCAACGGAGGAGTTACGAGTGCGTTGCCGACCTTTTAGGGATTAGGGATTTGGAGATTTAGGGATTGAGGAGGGATTGGGGAAGGGGAAGGATTGGGCCTCCGGTAACCTCACTCACACGGCGAAACACAACGCAGTGGTTATTTCACGCCGGTTTTCTGTGAGGCCGTGGTATCACTCCGGTCGAGCCGACCCATTCGTGCCGAAGTATGGCTCTCCCACACTTAAACTTTCTTAAATAAGAAAAACTTATGCTTATTTTAATTTCAACTAAGTTACCTATCTAATTGATAATACCTAAATAGGTGTTGATTTTAGTTGTAATGACTAGTTTCTGCAAAAGTCTTCGTGTTATTCCAGATTATAGTAATCTATATCTATGCTTTATTAAATGTTCAGTATTTTTCACGTTAAATAGTAACAAACCCATCCATATACTCAAACATTTTATGTTTATAATATTAGTACCTATAAAAATAGGATATTCTTTGATTGAGGTTAGAATATTTGGCGGCAATATTCAAATTTTGAATTTGTTCGCGTGGAATAGTGACTTCCTGTAGATTTTTGGTATAAAAACTATCCCATGTCCTTTCTCGATTTCGAAACTACATAATATGTCTATGCCAAATTGCACAGAAATCGGTTCAGTAGTTTAGGCGTGAAGAAAAGACAGACATACAGACAGAATTACTTTCGCATCTGTAATATTAGTTGGGACCAGCTTTCGTCCATAGCTTTGCCCGCGTGGTATATTGATAAAAAGAGACGGATAATAGTCTAGAATGGCAAATAGGTTACTTTTAACACCTGCACTGCGGGCTTAGCCCCTAGAACAAGCCCGAGCGTACGGCGCGTAGCGTTCCGCGCGCGCCTCGAAGAGCCAATAGACCACCACAGACGGGGCCCTATAGGGCTGATGTTCAGCCGGGGTTGCGGAGTAAGCGCAATGAGGCACCGCGACCTCGGCCTAGAGCAGAAGTAGGAACAGGGGGGTTTTTAGTCAGTAAGAGTCTGACACTCCCTCCCGCCCGACCCTGGGCGGGAGAAGTCATTTGATGATTTTCCCCTCACCAAAAAAAGCCCCTAGAACAAACTGGTTTTAAAATAATAATGTAACGTTTTTGATATCAGGCAGTTTTCTTCTTCATAGTCAAGATATCATTGCGGCTACTATCACAGAAGATCGGGCAGAAGCGCTTAGGTAAGTACAAGCATCGAGATTACTTTTGTTTTTACTATAGGACTATACCTACCTACCTACTTATCAACAAAATGTTAATATCACTACATAGTATAAAACAAAGTCACTTTCTCTGTCCCTATATCCCTCATCATCATCATAAGTCTATAAGTGCCCTCTGCTGAGCAAAAGCCTCTTCTCATACGAAGAAGGTTAGAGCATTGATCGCCACGCTTGCTCAATGCGGGTTGGCGATTTCAAACTTATAATTAGAAATTATAAGTGCAGGTTTCCTCACAATGTTTACCTTCACCGTATGTCAGTGGTGTCTAAATAATCATAGAAAGTACCTACATATTATAACTCGGAAAAAATCACATTGGTACTTGCCAGGTTTTGAACCCATGAGAAGCGGGCTCCTTAACCTTCGGGCCACCACGACATTTATCCCTACCTTTTTCCCTAGTCTAGCTCCCTTCCCTAGTCTAACTATACCCTATATCCCTATGTAGGTACGCTTAAATTTTAAAAACTACGCAACGGGATTTTTATGCGTGTTTTTAATAGATAGAGTGATTGAAGCGGAATGTTTATATAGTTACCTACCTCCGCGCAGTTTCTCTCGCTCCACGGCTCCATTTGATTGTAGCGTGATGTTTTATAGCCTATAGCACTCGGGAATATTGTAGCTATCTATCAGTGAAAGAATTTTGGAAATCTGACCAGAGTGGTTCCAAAAATTACCCCCTACATACAAACTTACAAATTTTACCTCTTTATAATATTAGCATAGATTAATATGTTATCTATAACATACATGAAATAGTGGCGAAATTTATAAACGGCATTGTAATCGTGCGAAGCCGGGGCAAGTCGCTAGTTATGTATGATCATCATTTTTGAAAACTCATGATTACAGGAATTTTGAAGGTGGTGTCTTGAAAGGAGACAGCTGTAATGGCAAGGTGAACTGTCTGGAGAGATCTGAGGATGTTAAGTGTGGGTTCAAATCATTCAGATGTCGAGATGGAAGCTGTGTTAGCGACCAGGCCAAATGTGATCGGGTAAGCACACGTCACTTCATAGTATTTTAGAGGTATGAAAAACAGGGTGGAAAGTTTCTCATCCTCCATTGAAAAGGGAGGATCCTCCGACCAGGCGGGGTGTCCGTGTTTCCAACAGTTGATGTCGGGATTTTTCTATTGTGCACTAGCGGCTCACCCCCGCTTCGCACGGGTCCAACTATCTCGCTATCATAGTGTCACTTTTTCCTAAACTTCCCCTCTACTTTTCTAATATTTTCTTTGATAAGAACCTTCTCCTGACAATAGCAAACACAACAAAAAAAGAATTAGCAAAATTGGTCCAGGCGTTGTTGAGTTACGCGCTTACCAACACATTTTGCGATCCATTTTTATATATAAGAATTAGCGCATAAACTTCACTTACGCGATGTAGGACCTGTTACGCCATCTGTTGATTATTGTTTCTGGATTTATGTGATACTGCGTGTGTGCGATAGATGTCGCTACAGTATAAACCAAAGTCACGTCCTTTATCCCTATGTTGTAATCTTTCAAACGACGCAACGAATTTTGATGCGGGTTTTTAATAGGTATACTGATTGAAGAGCAAGGTTTATACTTAAAAATGTACCCAAGAATCTGTAAGTGAGTCAGCAAATGAGCATGCAGACGGATTACCTGATGGTCAGCAATCAGCGCCGTCCATAGACACCACACAACAGAGGAGTAAAGAGTGCGTTGCCGACCTTTTAGGTATTTTGATATTTAGGGATTTAGGAGGGATTGGGGGAGGGGAACAATTGGGCCTCCGGTAACCTCACTCACACGGCGAAACACAACGCTGTGGTTGTTTCACGATTTCTGGCTACTTTATATATTTTATGTTTTAAAATTAGCAGACGGATTAGGTACCTAATGAAATCTTAACAACTTCATTGCCTTGGTAGGTTTTACTTTAAAATTTAACAAGGCAAAAAACTTTGGCATGGTCTTCAGTAAGAGTCGGAAACTTTCTCACGCCCCATTCAAGATTTTCCCCTCACAAAAACAAAACAAAGCTGATTGTGTTACTTTAAAAAAAATATTATTTCAATACATTTCAGGTGCTACACTGTGCAAACGCTTCAGACGAATCGGAAAACATGTGCAACGGAAAACTGACCTTTCGAAATACGTCAACTGATGCTGATGTTGAAGCCGTGGTGTTTAGGAGAAAGCGGTAAGCATTTAAATTGCTTATCATCAGTTCCTGAGGGCCTAGACAAGTAGAATATAATGGTTAGTAGCGAACCCACACCCTCATGCATGAGAAGCGGGCTCCTTAACCTCCGGACCACCTCGACATCATCTAATTTCTCTAATTTAATTGCCTACTAAATAGTTTTTTTTATGGTATAAGTCAGCAAACGAGCAGACGGATTACCTGATGGTAAGCAATCGCCGCCCATGGACACCCGCAACACCAAAGGAGTTACGAGTGCGTTGCCGGCCTTTTGGGGATGGGGGTTGCGGATATAAGGATTTGGAAGGGATAGGGGAAGGTGAGGGATTGGGCCTCCGGTAACCTCACTCACACGGCGAAACACAACGCTGTGGTTGTTTCACGCCGGTATTCTGTGAGGCCGTGGTATCACTCCGGTCGAGCCGACCCATTCGTGCCGAAGCATGGCTCTCCCACACTTATATTGTAAGTTATTATACGTTTTTTTATTTATCTCATAAATCATTTCAGACATTTTTACTCTTTCCAAAAATAGTTTTAAGGCAAAAGCAGTAGAGTTATTAACTTTATAAGATATTTTAGTTTTTTTTTACCTTTTCTTAATCTAATCTTCATAACAGTCTTCATTTTTTTTTGTGATGTACACTGTATGTTTGTTTTTTTTCTACTGAATTTCTTTGTTAATTCGTGGACAATAGTTTGGGTTACATGTATAACACTATTTTGCATGCAATTATATGTAAGTATTTGTGTAGAATAATATGTAAACATAAGGATGTGTTTGTATTAAGCTAAGCATGTAACTGTTTTTTGTCCCAAATAAATAAAATAAAAAAATCATATACAATACATGTCACATGCCCATATTATTTACACTTTTTTGTTACTTTTTATAGATCTAGTTTCTATTATAGATCTAGCTTAAGACAATATTGCTCCATGTAGGTATGTATTAAACTGAGTTTTTTTTACTTGGAATAAACTAGTGCTTGACTGCGATTCCACCTGATGGTAAGCAGTGATGCAATCGTTGATGGTAAGGCGCACTAGTTTATTAAGAGCCTATTCACTCTAGCCTTGAAGACACCTAAATAGTATTCGGACGGAAAGACTGCAGCCGGCAAACTGTTCCAATCCCTCAAGGAAAAACGCTTAGTCCCGGCCGCAGGTGTCTCAACAACGTAGGGGTGGATATTTGCCGTACGCCGGGATGTCCGGGTTACACATTTCTATTTTTAATTTATGGTAAAATGAGGGAAAGTAAGGTGAGGGATGTTTGCCAGGTAAGATGTGTAAGAGATGAAAGTGGAATGGTTCTATCGGATAACGACAAAATCAAAGAGAGGTGGAAGGAATATTTTGAAAGACTTATGAATGAGGAAAATAATTGGAGTGGGGTTTTAGAGAATAAACCAGTGAATGTGGGGTTAGTGAGAATGGTTAGTATGGAGGAAGTCAGAGTAGCAGTGAATGTAATGAAAAATGGTAAAGCCATTGGCCCAGATGGAATACCAGTTGAGGTGTGGAAGTTATTAAGAGTAGATGAAAGGGTGTGGTTGGCTTTGTTCTTCAATAAATTGTTACAGGAAGAAATCATACCTGATGAATGGTGCAACAGTTCTTTGGTGCCCATCTTTAAAAACAAAGGTGATGTGCTCGAGTGCAACAATTATAGAGGAATAAAGCTAATGTCGCATGCCATGAAAGTATGGGAGAAAGTTATTGAACGGCGGCTGAGAGAAGAGAGTGAAATTTCAGAGAACCAATTCGGTTTTATGCCTGGTCGTAGTACAACGGATGCCATATTTGCTATACGCCAGTTGTGCGAAAAATACAGAGGTGCACATAAAAACTTGCACATGGTATTCGTTGACCTCGAAAAGGCATACGACGGGGTACCTCGTGAGGTTCTGTGGTGAGCCCTTAAGGAGAAAGGTGTGCCTGGGAAGTATGTGCAGTTTATCCGATCAATGTATAGTCGCTGCAGTACACAAGTCCGGTCTGCAGCGGGCACCACTAACGAGTTCAATGTGGCTGAAGGTTTACACCAAGGATCGGCTCTCAGCCCTTACCTCTTCCTGATAATAATGGACGCTCTGACGTCGGACATTCAGGAAGAGGCTCCCTGGTGTATGCTGTTTGCCGATGATATTGTGCTGGTTGCCGAGAGTGCCCTAGAGGTCCTGAGCACATTGGAAATGTGGTGGCAAAGACTGGAGGGTATTGGCCTAAAATTGAGCAGAACTAAAACAGAGTACCTGTTCTGCGATTTTAGCGGTCTCTCTAGTCCTGTGCCCATAGCTCTCGCCGGAACGCCCATACCAACCTGTTCCGATTTTCAGTACCTTGGGTCGCTTATCCAAGGGAATGGTGAGATAGACCGAGACATAGCACATCGGATCAACTCAGGATGGATGAAATGGCGACAGGTCACTGGAACAACTTGCGACCCACGGATGCCCCTCAGGTTGAAGGGTAAAATCTACAAGTCCGTGATAAGGCCTGTCCTACTGTATGGGTCAGAATGTTGGGCTCTGAAAAAGACGGATGAAAAGCGATGCAATGCAAGCATGTAGCAGAGATGAGAATGCTGAGATGGATGTGTGGTGTGACGAGAATGGATAAAGTGAGAAAGAGTATGTTAGAGGAAGTTTGAAAGTGGCGCCAGTGACTGAAAATCAACTTTTCAACCGAACCGTTTGTCTTGGTATGGCCATGTGAAAAGGAGGGATGAAATGCATGTCATTGTGTGAGAAATGATATGGAAGTCAGAGGAGTTAGCGATAGCGTGACGGGTGACAGGACAGAATGGAAGAAAAAAATATACTGCGCCGACCCCAAATAAAACTGGACAAGGGCAGGAAGATGATGATGGTAAAATAAAATATTTTGTTTATCAAATAAAACTATTTTATTTTTAGTAAATAAACTTTTCTGTACAATATTGTATATTACATAGGTACATCTCGAACTTAAAATTTGCATCCGCATTAACTTTGGTATGACAATCATTTCATTACTTCATCACATCATAAAGGTTGTGTCACAGCCGGGTTTGCGGGGTAAGCGACCTCGGCACAGAGCAGGAGAAGGAACAGGGGGGTTTTTAGTCAGTAAGAGTCTGACACTCCCTCCTGCCCGGCCCTGGGCGGGAGAAGTCATTTGATGATTTTCCCCTCACAAAAAAGAAGTTTTGTCAGGAATAATTTCACAAAAAAACTAGAAAATAATAATTAATATGAAAATGGATGCAATTGGTAATTGGATAGGTTAACCCTATCCAATTACCAATTGCATCCATTTTTTTTATTTCATTCATTGTCCTGTGTACCTATATTTATCACACTTTATTACCTTATCAGAAGATTCAAAAAGTTATCATCATCAAAGGCCTCTTCTCACACGGAGAAGGTTAGAGCATTAACCACAACGCTTGCTCAAGGCGGATTGGGGATTTCAAACTTATAATTAAAAATTTTAAGTCTAGTTTTCCTCACGATGTTTTCATTCACCGTATGTCAGTGGTGTCTAAATAATCATAGAAAGTACATATAACTCGGAAAAAGTCACATTGGTACTTGCCAGGTTTCGAAACCACACCCTCATGTATGAGAAGCGGGCTCCTTAACCTCCGCGCCACCACGACAAAAAGTAATAGCAATTTTAAATTATTGTATAACATAGATAGTCACTGTTATTTCTGTCATTGGATCCTTACAATCATCAATAAATCTATAGTAAATTACACTAATTATTCAAATTTAATCTAAGCAAATCCAACCTAATTAATCTAATTACCTAAATAATATTAAAAATTCATTCAGAAGGCAATCTAGTTGATCGCGTCAACACATCAATTAGTCTTTGACCAATCAAAGATAATTGATGTAACAACTGGTTATGCTCTCGATTGACCTCTATCCTCTGCAACTCGCGAGCATGGAGGCGCCTGTCACGCCTCTCCTCGAATTCAAGTCGACGGATCTTAAAGGCTAGTAGTTTATTTGTTGCTCTTTCGAATGGCGTCAATGCTCTGTTCCTACGAGCCCTTAGGAAAGAAGACCGCGAGGAGGCTGAAGCCTGCCGCCTAGAGCTTCGTGCTGGTGGAGTTCGCGGGTGAGAGGGAGAAAAAGGGGAGAGCTGGGGTGGTGATGTAGCTGTCTCTCGTGTCGGTGGCAAAGTTGTGCGTGGTGGGCTTTGTACTATGGATTCAGCTGAAAGTATAATTTTTTTATCATTAATTTTATTATGATATTCAATCAAATTTTTATTTTAATTACCTAAAGAAACAGTTACATCCATAAAATATTTGTGAAATATTAATATTGTTGGAACCAAATATCATTATTACAGTTAACTTACTATAATTTTATTAATAAACTTTTGAGACATTCTAAAATCTAAATTAATTATTATTATGTTTTCGGCTTACTCAAGTAATAATTTGACGAGATACTCGACTAGTTTCAAGCCATGCTAGAAGAACTAGTCGAGTATCTCTTCAAATTATTACGTTGAGTAAGCCGAAATACATTAATTAGTTAACTTAGACATTAAGGAACTTGCAGTATTTAAAAATAAACTACGAAAATTTTTAATTGATAAAGCGTACTACACGATCCATTATTTCTTGAATTTTTGACGGTTCATTAGTTCCACTGTATTTTGACATGAATAAGTATTTTCTGTATGATATTGTATTAGTTTCACCGTATTTGACATGCATTAGTACATTGACCATGTGATAGTCTTCACTGTACTTTTACATTTATAATAACTTTTACCATTCTTAATAATTCCAAAATTTTTTATGCCAATATAGGTAATTATTACTATGCTATTATAAGTACCCACATAATTATTGTATGCCTTTAAGGCAGGACATATTGATACTTTAATTTAATGTTAAGACCTGTAACTCACATGTACAATAAAGATGCTTTGACTTTGACTTACTGTTTTGACTATAATCTGGAACGAAATGCTCTAGCTCACCTTTCTCTTCTTCTGCAGATGGCATCTCACTGGAGCTGTCTTCTACATGAATCAAGGGTGGGTCATTTGATGGTTTCTGAAAAATAAAAGACTACTTAACAATTTTAAGAATCTTTTAGCCGTCTGAAATAAAATGTTTTGTTATTATAAGTAAAACAAAATTCAGAAAAATTTTGTTGTATTTTTATAATATAACAAGCTTTTTTCTTTATGTGGAATCAACCTTCTTGCTTTATAATCTCTATACTAATATTATAAAGAGGTAAAATTTGTAAGTTTGTATGTAGGGAGTAATCTTTGGAACAGCTGATCGGATTTCCAAAATTCTCTCACTGATAGATAGCTACAATGTTCCTTAGTGCTATAGGCTATAAAACATCACGCTACGAGTAAATGGAGCTGAGCAGCGGGTGAAACCGCGCAAGAGTAGCTAGTATAAGATACAAAAGATTATGTCTAAGTAGTACAAGTTTATAAAATACTTACATTGAATCCTTGCTCTTGGATAGCTTGGCCTGCCACAGCAGACACTCCAATAACTGCAACCACTCTCTCTTCCAATGCAGTTAAAGAGGCCCTGCTGCTAGACCCACCACCACCAGAAGAGTGTTGCCTTATAGTTAAATATTTCTTTTTAGTTTTTGTCTTCCAGTCTGCCCACACCTAGAAAGCACAGTGAAACTTTATTATAAGAATGTTTTTATATTCATTTTCATTCATGAAAATGAAAAATATTTTTTTTTTTTTAATAGCCTAATTTGTGATTGTTTGATGTTTCAAAAGTACCTATTTATGGTTAAGTTGGAATAAATGTTGAAAATTTCCTTCCAAATTATTCTGTCTAGAGCGATGTCTGCCCAAGTTTGCCCCGCAAACTATTATTTGTAATATTTATAATTATAATTATTAATATTGTCGTCGTGGCCCGGAGGTTAAGGAGCCCTCTTCTCATGCATGAGGGTGTGGGTCAAAACCTGACAAGTACCAATGTGACTTTTTCCGAGTTATATGTACTTTCTATGATTATTTAGACACCATTGACATATGGTGAAGGAAAACATCATGAGGAAACCTGGACTTATAATTTCTAATTATAAAAAGTCAAAAGTCAAAAAGTCAAAAATCATTTATTTCAATTAGACCACAGTAGGCACTTTTGAACGTCAAGCAAGCAAAAAAGGAAAATAAGTATATAACAAGAGCTTTAAAATTAAGCGTGTCAGTCTGTCCGTCTGTCCTCTAGTGAAGCTATTTGCTCGTTCCAAAGTGTAGATTCCTATGGAGAAGAACGAGCAAGAAACTCCATGGTTACTCTTTTTCAATCAGTTTTACAATACATTTCTTTGTTACATCATTTAGTCGGTTCTGATATGTGATTCTGATATGTGTATAAGTTTGAAATTGACAACCTGCATTGAGCAAGCGTGGTGATTGATGCTCTAACCTTCTTCGTATGAGAAGAGGCCTTTGCTCAGCAGTGGGCACTTATAGGCTGATGATGATGATGATGATGATGATAATTGAAATATATTATTTTTAATTCATACCTTTTTCCATTTATCTGCTGATTTTTTAACACCACCATTAACAGAATTTAACGTAGTCGCTAAATCCTGCCACAGCTGATGGCCCTTAAACCGACCTTGAGCGCTCGACTGGGGTTTCGAGATATCGCCGCGCCTAAAACATAAACAACAGCTTTAGTGGTACATTCCTTTGTAGATTGTGCAGCTTGATCACGTCATTGTTTATATTTAAATAATAAATAAAAATAAAAAGCCTTTTATTTCTTGCAAAATTACTTACAAAGATATGAAAATAGGTGAAAGGAAAATGAAAAAGGTGGTTTTTAGTTTATATTTAGTTTAATTTATTTTATTTTACGTATAATTACGAAATACCTTTCCATAAAATCTATTAGAACTAGGAATTGCTCTGGAATAGCTCGCAACCTCGGTTCCATCTAAAAAATAATATTACAATGAAACTGAAAATAATATTATTCAAGTAACCATTTAAACGACAATATTATATACACAAACATGATGATACATAATACATTATACTTATTTAGAGTACTCACCGTATTAAATATGCTATTTAATGTATAATTTCAATTAAAACTTCTTAAATAAAACCATACACAACTTGAAAATATTCTCCTTTCGCGGCGACCTAATGTCAAACTGACGTTAGCCTACGAAAACCATAGAGAACAATTGATGTTTTTTCTAACGTTCGAATAGAATGAGCGTTCTTCAAGTAGTTGTAGTTGTACACTTGGCTACCAATCTAAAAATGCTAACGCCCAAGCGTTCATTTTTAACCGACTATAAAAAAGGAGGAGGTTCTCAATTTGTTGGGATATTTTTTTTTCAGTACATTAGAAATGACTCCGAGCGTTTGCTACTTGTCTAGGCCCTCTAGTGAGAAAAGAAAGAAGTGTGGAAGAAGCAAGTTTTGGCACGAATGGGACAGATCGAGCAGACGGATTACCTGATGGTAAGCAATCGGCGCCGCCCTTTGACATCACCAAAGTAATTACGTGAGCGTTGCCGGCCTTTTGGGGAGAAGGGTTTCGGATATTTAAGAATTAGGAAGGGATGGGGGCAAAAGGAAGGATTGGGCATCCGATAACCTCAATGACACGGCGAAACACAACGCTGTGGTTGTTTCACGCTGGTTTTCTGTGAGGCCATGGTATCACTTCGGTCAAGCGGGCCTATTCATGCCGAAACATAGCTCTGCCATTCTTCCGAAGCAAGGATCTCCTACACTTAAGCACATGCTTGCTTTAGCATAAAAAAATTTAACTGTTGAATATTTTGTTTTTTCAGTTCCAGTCTGTGCGCCTTACCCCCGCAGCCAGACCACGGGGCTTATACCGAGGCTCCATACCCTGAATCCTTTCCACCTGGTCTGGATTTTGTGATTCTGAACTACGTGTGCTTCCCCCCTTACAGAATGGTGGGGCATTCATCAGTTTTGTGCAGTAATGGACAGTGGGCACGTGCGTTTCCGACATGCAAACGTGAGTGACCTTGAGAACAGGTGGACTTCGCACTTATACCTTAATAAACTGATGGTAAGCTATCAACGCCGTTCATAAACACCCGTAATATCGTAAAGTAATGAGTTATTTATCGGCTTTTAAGAGTAACAGTTTACCTTCGACTTCTTACGTCTGGCCTTAGTCGAGGCCATGGTGCGGAGCGAGAGGAAATTGAAGATGTGATCACATCGCAAAGAAGAAGACAAAGAGCATAAGCGAACTACTATCTCCTCACTCCAAATCCGCTGCAGTAGGAGACAATCTGGAAGTCGTCAGGGATCGCACGATAATCTCTTAGCAAGAGTAGCTCGTCACCCGGCCAGAACCAGATCCGAGCGGTCGGCGTGTAGCGTTTCGCAAGCGCCATATTGGTGGGCTACTGGCTCTGCTCAACAAGGTCGATGTTCAGACAGGGTTGCGAGGCAATCGCAATAAGGTACCGCACCTTCGGCCTGGAGAAGGAACGGAGTAGTTTTTAGTCAGAAAGAGTCTGATACTCCTTCTCACCTTACTCTGAACGAGAGAAATCAATTGACATCTTCTGCCCCTCAAAAAAATTCGTCTACCTTATTTTTTTGAGTTTAATTATTGGACCGCATGTTTATAAAAAAAAACTTAACGATCGACACAATATTCTGCAGCTAACACAAACAAAATGCAAATCTGTGATCACGAAGTGGCTTCTTACGCTGGACTACGATATGACAGAAGACTTATTAACCTAAAAACAAAAAAACACACGTAGCTAGCTGTTATTCATACTTCGTATATTTATTAGCATATAATTTATTACTATATACCTAACATATGGATATTTATTTACTTATTAAATTTATTATCTAAATTAAAAAGAGTAACGATGGAGTTTCTTGCTCGTTCTTCTCCATTCGAAACTACAATTTGGAACGAGCACCTAGCTTCACTGACGAACAGACTGACAGACTACTATTCTATTTTGACGTTTCAAAAGTACCTACCTTTTTATGGTTTAGTTGGAATAAATGATTTTGATTTGATTTGATTTGATATTTATTATCATATATGACATATATTTTATTTTAACAACTCTACGATTACATTTTTAAATATTGCTAAAATAACCAATAAAATAATATTTAAAAATATAAAAATAGGAGCCAGCTGGTCCAAGCCACCGGTGGTTAGGGCTCCAAAGACCGAAATCTCCTCACAATGCGCGCCGTTTCAGGGAGGACTGCCTTCTGTATAGGCTAGGCTTTCATATATATTATTGTTTTTTTTTTTTGGCCGAATGTTTAACATACCTACTAATCTAATCTAAGCAACTTAACGTATATGAATATATAGTGAAACTGAAAACAGACATCGAAACGAATGAGCCTGAAACTCACGACACAGGGAATCCTAGTATGAATTTCAGGAACCAAAGCATTGTTTAATAAGCAATAAAATTATTCTTATTCTTAATTACAGTTGTCTGCAGGTTGGCTCGGTACAAAGACATGGACTTTCGCTGCCTGGTCACCGAAGACCCAGCAGACGGCTACACAAAATGTGACTACCTCATACCTTCCGGCGGAAAGGTCCAACCGTTCTGTAATGTCCACTTTTTCTCGCGAACTCCGTTAAGTTTAATGACCTGTGTCAATGGAACTTGGGATTACATGCCTGATACTTGCAGACCTGGTAAGTATCTGACATATTTACACTAATCTTCCCATGGGTGTGGTATACCAGCTGCAGCATAGCATGTTTAAGGCGAGGCATTTAAATTTCAATTCATCGACGTTTTTTGGAAATGCAAACAAGCGCATAGATCCCCTGCTGATGTTAAGCAATTGGCAGAGCTCATGGACAACCTCTACACCAGAGATATGAGGGTTGAGAATATGAGGATTTGTTTATGACAAGAGTCGTCAAAGCAGACCAATTACCTGATGGTGTGAACTGGCTGGCTGGGGTATATTTTTGTTGTTTACTTTCTTAGGTGAATATATACTTGCGTTTATTACGCTGTACAAATCGACACAAAATATTTAGTAATACACATTTAGAGGTATGAGAGAACAGGGTGGAAAGTTCCTCATCCGCCATTGAAAAGGGGGGATCCTCCGACCAGACGGGTGTTGAGTCTGGTGGGCTCCGACCAGACGGGTGTTGAGTCTGGTGGGCTCCTGCCCGACGGTTGTGGCGAATTTTTGTATAGGTTCTAATTGCGATGAGAACTCTTATAGCGCGATGTAGAATCTTGCACGTGATTGGTGCTGTTGTTATAGTTGTGCGATAGATGTCGCTACACACATGACTTCTGCAACTAGACAAATGACATCATGCTATAATCTAGGGCTGTAGGCATTATGGTGAGTTGCCTGATGGTAAGCAGTCGGCGCCGCCCATTTACACCTGCAACACCAAAGGACTTCCGAATACGTTGCTGTTGCCTTTTGATAAGGGTTTTGACTATTTATGGATGGGGGAGGGAAAGAATTGGGCCTCCGAAGCCGAGGCTAAGGTGAGAATGAAGAAGGAGGAAGAATCCGTGTTTTTTGAACCTTAATTAAATTTCTACCTGACCTTACGGTGTTTTTCAGAATGCGGTACAATAATACCAAAAGGTACACCGCTTATGTCTGGTGGAAGACCAGCGATACATGGTGAACTGCCCTGGCATGTTGGCATATATGACAAGAAGGAGACCCCCTATGAACAGATCTGTGGAGGATCTATCATCAGCCGAAAGGTTGTTCTTTCTGGTGAGTTGAAGATCCTTTTTGGCTACATCCACGAAAAAGATGACGTCATTGTCCCGTTACGCTCATGGTCGCGTTCCGCAAGCAAGAGCGCGGCTCAGAGAGGCATGGTATCGGTCGGGAAACGAGCAGACGGATTACCTGATGGTAAGCAAGCACCGCCGCCCATGGACACCCGCAACACCAAAGGAGTGCGTTGCCGGGCTCTTAGGAATAAAGATAGATATTTAAGTATTGGGAAGGGGAAGGGGAGGGATGGGGCCTCCGGTAACCTCACTCACACGGCGAAACACTGTGTGTTTTTAAACGCTGTGGTTGTTACACGCCGGTATTCTGTGAGACCGTGGTATCACTCCGGTCGAGACGACCCATTCGTGCAGAAGCTTGGCTCTCCCATACTTCCTTGAATGAAATGAATTCTTTAGCCCAGGATATGCTGAGAGAGAGTGTTAGACTGTTACTGACAAAAAACCCCTAAAAGTCACCGAATGAGACGAGAGAAGTCATTTGATGATTTTTTTTCCTCAAAAAAGTCTATCCTCTACGTACGTGGTATGTCTTGATACCAAGGCCAAAGCTCTAGAGTCTAAAGTCTAAAGTCTAAAGTCTAAAGTCTAAAGTCTAAAGTCTAAAGTCTAAAGTCTAAAGTCTAAAGTCTAAAGTCTAAAGTCTAAAGTCTAAAGTCTAAAGTCTAAAGTCTAAAGTCTAAAGTCTAAAGTCTAAAGTCTAAAGTCTAAAGTCTAAAGTCTAAAGTCTAAAGTCTAAAGTCTAAAGTCTAAAGTCTAAAGTCTAAAGTCTAAAGTCTAAAGTCTAAAGTCTAAGTCTAAAGTCTAAAGTCTAAAGTCTAAAGTCTAAAGTCTAAAGTCTAAAGTCTAAAGTCTAAAGTCTAAAGCAATTGTTTTTCCAAGCTGCCCACTGCTTCTGGAGGCTAGGAGCTATGGAGCCTCCCTGCAGGTATGCTGTCCAAGCTGGGAAACTGTCCAGGGCGTGGGACGATGTCCAGGATGAGGTGGTTCAACAACGGAATGTAAGTAGCAAATGGATGGTCAACTTGTATTTTTGAGGACTGACACCCTAGTTTACTTGGCTGCTATTGATCGTAGGGTCATGTTTTTATCAGTGAAACATACAATGTTACACTTAGACCTTGAACAATATGTGGACCACACAAAGAGTTGTTCCGTGCGGGAATCGAACCCGCGACACGTTGCACGGCAGCCAGTTGCCCAGCCACCGGGCCAACCGTGCAGTTACCAAGCAATAATATGGTCACAGCTTCTCCGTGTGAGAAGAAGAAGACGCTTTTGCTCAGTAGTGGGCACTTTCCATGGCAGTATGATAGTGTAGTTTTTCTACTCTTTCATTTTATGTAATAGGTCGGCCAACGAGCTTAC